TATCTTTAGGCCATGTTGGTTGCTACATTTTATGAATACCTGCCTAGTACATAAGTCCTCAATAGGTGAATTTCATTCAGAGTATGCAAATGAAGCACTTCTTAGCATTCCAGCCCCAAGAGAGCCCTCTAAACCATACAGAGGAGAGAAATGAGGATTTTATCCTCAGATCTAGTATGTGGTGCATGAAGTGTGGACGGTAAGCGACAACAATGGCCACATAAAAAATGACAATAGTGCTGCACCTGTATTCCTGGCAAGTAATTGTGCAGAATTTGTATTTGCAGTTGAGTACATAGCTGAAGTGAAATCTTACCCAAGCCATGACAAAATGTTATGCAACCAATCAAGTATACCAATACATAAACCTATACAGTTTTGCCTTGTAATTGGTTGGAAGAAAACATAGCAATAATGTAACAAATGTCACTTACCTTGAAGGCAGAGCAACTGGAAAGTGGCCAACACTGGCACCTCCTCTTAACTCAGCTACTCAGCATACTGGCAAGTCCACCCATGTTTTAGATTGCCTTACATGCTTCAAAACAAGGCCCGCCCACGGTATCGAAAATGTGACACTGGAGGATTCCCGACTTTTTTATCGTATTTCATCTAGCCTTCGGTCGCTCGATGTGTTGTTTGACTTATATCACACTGTACACGCACACCACTCACTTCCCAACCCCCACGATTGTTTTGGTTACCGAAGCACAACGTAGCGCAACCAACGCATTTCGGCGCTCAGCGCAGCGTAATAAATTCAAACCTGGCGCTATTTGCGAACTTATACTTCCTATGAGCTTTTCGCCCAAATCAACTACATTCGCAAAGGAAGCCATTGCTGACCAATGAGCACACACCTTATAAATAATGCCTAGTGTTCATTGGGTGATATGACGCACAGGCGTTCCATTCAATGCGTGATACTTGAAGCGAATACACCGCTTGCACCACCTCTCAAAATATTGAAAATGTTAATGACTTATATCTTTTTTGAGCAGTTTAAAGCCATTCTTACCCGTAATTTGTAGAATAGAGCCTGCCTCCTCTACAAACATTACAAACTACAAGGATAATTCTATTTTTGTCTTTCTGGTGGGACCTCATTTCGATCATCCCTCTCAAGGTCGCTCATATCTTGACATATGTGGCGCACTAAGGCCTTACAATCATGTTGGCGCACGGAGGCAACCTTGCGCGGTGGCACTGGGGACGGGATACGTGTTGGTGGCCCATTGAGGAGGGGAGCATATGTTCCCACCAATCCCTCGTGATATCATACATTTACTCTGCGTGTTTTCAAGCTAGTAGGTTCGTCCCCTCGGTGCTTTAATATTGCGTGGTTCTGTAATACTATGACCGACAAATGCCAGTATTGATGCCCAGCCCCAGAGTGAAAGGGATTTGTAACCACTTTGATACGAAATATCCATGTAAGCCGGACCTTATAATGCCAAAAATGAGGTCTTAATTGGAGTGCCTGCCTGTCTAGGCATTTGAAAACATAAGATTACCAGGTAAGATATGAGCAACTAGCATCAGGAACATAAAGCTTAGATGCATCTTCCAGAAGATTTGGCCTGCAAACCATTGGAACTGCAAAGGCAACCATTTTGGGGGTATACCACATGTGATATAATTTTGAAACTTGCCCCCAAAATTTGGTGCATATGTGCTGTGAATGCAAATGCCCCTTTTTGGTGTTTGGCCTGCACCCACTCTGCAGAAGATCCAACCATCAGTCAATTCATTGTGTATGGTGCCCACTTGAGGACAGTGCACCAAGCCTGAAACTTAGGTGTGCATTTAGGCAATTTGAATGGTGTGATGTTGTTTGTTTCAATTCCAATTAAGGCAAAAAAACATTCTGTCATAGTAAACATAAGCCTCTAGCATATACTAGACTTAACTATACTCTGTTCACTCATGCACAGAGTTTGGTGCATCATTGTACATCAGGCATCCAGTGCAGCTAAGATTGTTTTGCAGACTGGGGGACCATGCCATGTGTATGCTGTCCAATTGTCACATGAGAGGGCAAAGTGCCAGCTGTTGGATAGCTCATTGTACTCTGGGTATTCCCAAAACAGCTACATTTGCTTTTCCATGCCTCCTTATGTAAACATGTTGAACTCCATATCCAATATTGTATGAATATAGAGCAGACATGGCTTGACATTGTGAGACAACAATGAAGTCTGTCACAATATTAGTTTGGCTTGCTCCACAGGTGTGAAAAGTAGCACATTCTGATAACTATCATGCAGTCAGCTTTTTGTTTTGTTTTAAGTGCTAACACCAGCTGTTAGGAAAACTAAACTGTGGGTTAGCATGTACCACTAAGCCAGTTTGAGTGGATGTGGCTTCCTTCAATATGTGATCCCTGACCCTGGCTTTTCATCACTGTGGATGGGGCACAAATGGTAGTGGCTATGCACCTGCCACTGACCACTGCCTGCCCGCCCTCATGTTTTAGGTGCCACAGAAGATGCGCAACAAGGTACTGCTGTACATATTTGCTGGTGTGATGATCTGGTCTTTCGCCTCCTACCTGTTCATCATGCATCGGCCCAGTAGTGCAGCCCGCAAAACTGAAGAGGTCAGTCATGCTGCTATACTGAACACCATGATGAGTTGTATTAGTGGGGTTTGGAGGAACATCTGCTAGGCAGAAATGTTCAGCAGTTGGCAATGAAAATGTGTTTCCTTCAGTGAATTACTATGTGAAAAATGTAACACTGCTTTGAATGAGGTTGTCTTGCTAGTATTTCTTTCACATAGCCAACCTTTTCCAATACTTAGTGGGCAAAACCCAAGTCCTCAGCCCCATTGTTGCAGGACTAGGTAAGCTATGGGTGTCACAGTCATTGGTGCTGCTTGTGAGATTGTCACATGTTCTTGCAGACCTCTCATGACTTATGGGAGCATATCATTCAGTCAGTTTGTCACATCAGGCCAAACCATGTTGCAGCTGTATCAAATGAAAAATGCATGTCTGTCCTCCCTTTGAATCTTGCTTGCATCCATGTGTTTGAAGCTCATGCTCTGTGTTCCATGTGTTCTATGGAAGTCCGCAATATTTATTGGAGGATTGGCGGGAATGTGGACGCTGGGTGGGGGTTAAGAACCATGAAGGCTTTGAGGGCAAAACGATGCGATGATGCGATTGGAATATTCCCGATTGATGTAATGAGCTTACACTGGGTGTATGGCATACCGGCGGCGCCAAATAACAACATGTGCACAGTGTATGGTGTCGGCTAATGGACGTTACCCCAGCGGGCTGCGGTCGCACAGCACCTCCGGGCGCATGGCTGACACAGATCTCGGCCACCACTGGACACACATGCTGGCCGCCTGAGCCCGGTCAGTGTCGTCCGACATTCTGGGGTTCTCAAGCCGACGTTCTCGGGTTCTCAGGCTGACATTGTCGGGTTTTGGGGCCGACATGCTCGGGTTCCGGGGCCGACATGCCCGGGTTCTCGGGCCGACATGCCGGGGTTCTCGGGCCCAAATTATCGGGTTCGGAGGCCGACGTTTTTGAGTTCTCTGGCCGACATTTTCGGGTCAGCGATCCTAGACGCGACTGGTGCCTCCGAGCCCGCTGGGGCTGCCGTTGACTCAGCTGACACGCTGATTGTCAGGCGGAGGGAGGGCGGGGCACACCTGACGCTTACGAGCCCGTCATTGGCTGAGCTATAGCGCAGCTGCGGCTCTCTCACTTCCGTCACTGGCAGTCAATCACGCCAGTGCCAGCCGGGTTATGAACATCACCGATGTTAAATGTGGCGGCCGCCGCCGTACCGTCATGGGAAGAACGTCCTACTACTGTGCCACGAAATCCAAGCGCCGAGTGTTGGAATCCCCTTGATTATCAGATATTTAGCGCGTGTCACCTGGCTGAATTTTGCAGGTTATTGCAGTGACCTTGAGTGCACGTCTGCCTGCCCTCACCCCCCCCCCCCCCCCCGCTGCTCTGGGGACTCCACCCAGAGCGATGGGAATCGCGGCGTGTTCAGCTTCCTGTCAACAAGCGAGCATTTAATGGGGTTCGCATGATGATAGCAAGTTTGGTGTTTGCGGCGTTTGGCATGACCGTGGTCCTTGGGGACGGACATATGCTGACATTTGGTTGTTTTTCAGTGAGCGGACCGCCCGCTGACATTGATATGGGGGTTCATGCGGTTTGCGAACTGCTGTCTTGAAAACGGGTGGATTGTTATGCTCTTATCGGGACATAGACGGTCAAATAAATGTCAATATCCCGGTATACTGTGTAGTGAAGTTATTCCAAGTTATGATTTCCATGTTTTTTCCGGCGGTTGAGCTTAGGCCATCTGGCACGTCTACACCTGTCGCAGTAGCTGTACGTGAAGCTTGTAAATTAATACGATGCCGTCATATCTGCCGCTTCGTGGTACGTGAAGCGTTAATGTTGCATCACGTCGCTGTTGCCCCGTCAGTACGATGCTTATCACTGCATTGCACACAACTGGCAGCTTGTTGCGTGCTGCACCGTACTTGCAGTTGCGGGCGGTGTGTCGGAGTGTCAGTGTCGGCGCTCGCCCGGCCAGCTCCGCGCGGACCGCGCTGTAGACCGACAGTCTCCACCGGGACAGCTGTCAGGTCGGGACCGAACCAACGGCCGCTCGGAGGCCGAGCCGGCCCCGCTCTGCGCCGTGTTGTGTACCACCGAGCGGCCGTCGGTGCCCTGGTGGAGTGCCGGCCTGACCGCGTGCGCCCGTCCTCCGCGTCCGGCCGCCGGTCCTCCTCGTCACGGCCGAGTGGGGCGGCGGCAGCCGGCTGGCGCGTCGGCAGCCGTCTGCGATCTGCCGGCTCGGACGCATCGGTCGGCGCACCTGAGTCGGTCGGCGCAGCTGTGCTGCGGCGTCCCTCGGGCCCCACGTGGCTGCGGCCGTCGTGCGCCACCCCGCGCTGCGCCGCGCCCGCCGCCCGGTCGGCGTGCGCAGTACCGCCACACGTCGCCTGCCAGCCCGCGCCGTCGGCGGTCTCTGTCGGGCAGATTAGGCGGTCACTGGGCACCTGCTGTCGGGTGCAGGAACAGTACCTGCCGTCGGGTACAGGTGTGGCGCCGCTCATTGGGGTCGTGCGGCGATCACCGTCGCGCCACACTCGTTCAGCTGGAGGCACGCCATACCGTAGGACAGTGGCGCCGGTGTTGTTTGTGATCCCCGGACGTGCGGTCGGTCAGTGCCGACCTGAGACAGCGGTGGCCTGGCCCTGTTGCCGCCGGCTGGTGTGCTGGTGTTGCCCCGACCGTGGACTGACGCAGCGCCGGGTCTGCCGTGATCTGACCTTTGGCCGAGTCTGCGGCGCGCCGGTCCGGTGCGGCGTCGACAGCGGACGGCTGGACATGCGGCTGGCGGTGATGTGGACCGGGTCGCGTCTGCCGGCGCGGGCTGTCCTGCTGGCGGCGGTGATCGTCGGCGCTGCGCTGCTGCCACTGCTGCACGGCCTGCTGGCGCTGCACCTCTGCCGGTCGCAGCAGGCACCGGCGCTCTGCAGCAGCCTGCTGGCGCAGACGCTGGCGCTGCAGGCTGTCGCCGCCCTCCTGCTGCTGCTGTGTCGCTACGCCGCCGAGCAGCCGCCAGCCACGGTACACTGGCGCGCTGGTCGGCCGGGCACTGTTCGCGGGGTGTGCGGCGCTCCGGCCGTCAGCGGGCCCGCCTGTGACCCGTGTTCGTGTCTTGAAGTTTGGCCGGTCAGAGGCGCCGTCTGTGCTCGCTGCTAGGAGGTGCGAGGCTCGGCTCGAGGCTGACGGTGCCGCTGTTGCAGGCGCTGTACAATCTGAATGAGCAGCTGGCGGTGCTGCAGAGCAATCTGGTAGAGCAGAGGGAGGAGAACAAACAGCTGCTGCAGACGCTGAAGGAGATCGCAGAGAAGCGGGGTAAGTCATGCATACTGCGTTCATTGGTATCCAACGGACGTGTCCACGCTTCGCTCACTCGTGGTTATTTTCTGTGGGGTATTACGAAAGCGAGCCTTTATTGCTTTACTTAACGTGTTGCCGCCGCTACCATGACGTGGTGTCGTCCACGTTTGCTCCAAAGACTGGAAATAGTCGAGTTGAAAGCGGCGCGGCACTGTATGCCCCCGCCCTGGATGCCTGTCAAGCCATCAGACCGGAGCAATGTGTCTCCAAAGCTCGGCTGGTCGCACTGCGGCCCCCTCTTAGCCGGCTGTCCCCGCCTGGCAGGTGTTCACAGCACGGTCGGGGCGCGAGCACTGGCGCCACCGCCGGCTGGCGAGAGCGGCGCGCCGGGCCCGCCGCCGCCCACCATCGCCGTCCTGGTGTTCGCGTGTAATCGTGTGACGGTGTCGCGTCACCTGGACCAGCTGCTGAGCTACCGGCCAGACGCCGCCCGCTTCCCGATCGTCGTGTCGCAGGACTGCGGCGATCGCGCCACCGCCGACGTCATTGCCGGCTACGGCTCCCAGCTGACGCACATTAAGGTGAGGTTCGCGGTTGGCGCACGCCAAGGTGAGGTTCGCGGCTGGAGCACATTAAGGTGAGGTTCGCGGCTGGCGCACGCCAAGTTGAGGCTTGCGGCTGGAGCACATTAAGGTGAGGTTCGCAGCTGGCGCACGCCAAGGTGAGGTTCGCGGCTGGAGCACATTAAGGTGAGGTTCGCGGCTGACGCACGCCAAGGTGAGGTTCACGGCTGGAGCACATTAGGGTGAGGCTCCCAGCTGACGCACACCAAGATGAGGTTTGCAGCTGGCGCACGCCAGGTTGAAACTCACAGCTGGAGCTCAACAACGGGTTCATAGCTGATACACATCAAGATTTGGCGCTGAGCCAACCGTCCACGGGAGAAGGGGGCTCACAGATGATGCACCATAAGGGCAGGCGGACCCCAGCCAGACATCCTCCACAAGATGGTGTGCGCACCATAGCGGTGGACAGTGCCGGTGAACTGCGTTGAGAAAATCTCACCATCCGTGCTTTTACTCCGCTCTGTTACTGCAAGGTGGTCGCGCACGACGCTGAGCTGGGGAGGCTAGCTGAGTGGCAGTTATGATGCACCTCTGACCAGTTCGCTGCCTTTCTGACCTCAGCAACCGGACCTGAGCGACATTGTGCTGCCGCCCAAGGAGAAGAAGTTTAAGGGCTATTTCAAGATCGCGCGGCACTACCGCTGGGCGCTGGGCCAGATGTTCGAGACGTTCAACTACTCGACGGTGCTGATCCTGGAGGATGATCTGGATGTGGCGCCCGACATCTTCGACTACTTCTCCAGCACGCTGCCGCTGCTGACGGCGGACCGCTCGCTGTGGTGCGTCTCCGCCTGGAACGACAACGGTGAGTGGGTGGCCCGCGTCTGCCGACGAAAGTGGCGGCGCCGGTGGCAGCGGCTGGCCACGCCTGCGGTTCGGGCCGGTGGGCCGTGCTGTGTGTGCGGCGGCAGGTTGGCACCGGTTCGAACTTCCGGCGCCGCGTCACAGTGAGCAGGTGACCCGGTTGCCCGGACAGGCCGCCGCTGCGCCGCATTCCTGGTTACACGCTGGACATCGGAGCGTGACCCACGGCTAGTGTGGTGATTTGTTCCACTATCGCAGTATCAGTTCACGCCGCATCGGAGGCTGGCTGGCGCTGCATTGTGCGCCTCCCGCAAGTGTAGCCGGCACCGCTGAGCATGGTTGCCGTTGTAACTCTGAGCATGATCGTCGTTTGCACGATTGCGGTTGCCACTCCGCTTCCGTTAGTTCGCACGCGCATCGGTTTTCTTGTGACCGGATTGAGCAGCTTCAGATTACGTCGTATTTCCGGTGGTTAGCCTTCCTTTGCGTCGAAAACTGGCGTGGCAACCTTCGACGATTGACTGGTGACATTAGAAGTTGCGTTCTTCCCGCTGACGCAGTGTGCCGCTGCCGGCAGGCAAGCTGGACCGGATCGAGGTGGGCGCGCCCGAGCTGCTGTACAGGAGTGACTTCTTCCCCGGCCTCGGCTGGATGATCACCAGCGAGCTGTGGCGCGAGCTGCGCTCCAAGTGGCCCAAGTCGTACGTACAGCACGGCACGGCCCGCTCCGCGCCTGCTCAGGGATGCTCACTGAGCTGCCGTGCCGCCGATGGCGCTTGGTTTCGTTTTTGATACGCGCGGTCCGTTTTGCAGGGATGGATGGGCGGTGAGAGTCATTGCTGTTCATGGTCTGGTGGCAACACCCGAGCAGAGTAGAGCAATGCCAGTTTAATGGGGCAATATGTGCTTCGGCCCTTTCGGCTATATGCCTAGTGTTAGATGAGCTTTATCGTGCTATGCAACGCCATGATAGAACCATTCCGTTCTAGTTTGACGCACACCGATTGCGTTCTCGCGAACTGGGATGATATGCTGGGCAGAGTAGTGACAGTATGGTGTAGGTAATCCTTTTAGCTTGGAATATGCGTCGATTGTAGCTGCGCGATGGCTCTTCTGCGGACCACATGCACCAGTATGCGTGGCTCCGTCTTGTTTTGTTCATGATGCACAGGCGTTTTCGTTTATGTATCGAAATAGTTGTAATTATTTGTGATGACCTGTATGATCGTGCAGACATTCTTGAGTTTTCGGTCTCGGTTCTTGGCGAAGAAAAACAAGCAGGCATGTACCAATTATGTTTTCCAGATATGGTACGTGTGCTTCATTTCCGCGCTTAGTGCGGCTGGGAGTGTATGCTTTACATCTGCTGTGCAATGGCATTGCGCCATTTTCGCCTACGCCCACCCCACCCCATCGGGACCAGGGTTTCACCAGGGCCGGCCATACCGTCATGACACGCGGCATCACTACCGCCGCGCTGCACGGGCCGGCGGGAGCCCGGGCCCCACTACTGACGGAGCTCCCTGTCACCGGGAGCGGCCGCTGTCGCCATGCGCGTGAGCACGACCCCTTTCAACAGCCTCCTCTGCGTCCGGCCGCAGGTACTGGGACGACTGGATGCGGGAGCCGGCCCAGCGCCAGGACCGGGCCTGCATCCGACCAGAGGTGTCACGCACGCGCACCTTCGGCAAGAAGGGCGTCAGCAAGTAGGTGACGCGAAACGGTGGTGGCAGGCCGAGGCCGCCGCCGCGGTCTCAAACTGAGCATCGGGGGGGGGGGGGGGGGGGGGGAGGGGCGTCATAGCGGAATCCGCTGCGCTCGCTGTCGCTTGGCTTCCCGTGCGTCCTGGAGTAACGGGAGCGCGGAGGTGCGGGAGGCGCGGGTGGCGGTGAGCGGCCCCTGCAGGCGCAGTGGTCCGCTGACGGGGCCGAATGGGGTGCATATGGTGTCCAGGGCTGGTCTGTACCGGCGGCTGCAGCCCTGTGGCGCCTGGCAGAGCTGGGGCGAATGTCACGCGATGCAAGTAATTCAGTAGGTGGTTTTCGGTTCTCCGTGGCAGGTGCGCCGCCGTTAGTCTGTCTTATTCAGTCTTCAAGCAATGGTAAAATGGCGACCTTTAGAGAGCGCGACACCCTGGAATGTCTACTTGCAAGACGGCGATGAATGGGAGTGTGGCTGGCATTGCTTATGCACGACGCACGAGGTGAAGCTCGGAGTGAAATGCGATAGCCGTCTAGGAGGACTTACGCAAGGCCCTCACTCAATTTGTGATGAGTTGGTAGTTGCTGCTCCGTGTTCTAGTGTCTTCGTGACGCACACCGCTCCCTCTATTGTTGACTATTCGTTTCTTCTCCACAGTGGGCTGTTCTTTGAGAAGCATCTGAAGTACATACATCTCAATGATAAGCCCGTGCCATTCACTAAGATGGATCTGAGCTATCTACTTAAGGTAAGTCCGTCCATGATGATTCTGACACTATGAATGTCAACTTTTTTAAATGATAAGTGTATATGACATTGTACTCTATACTCCTATGTGCTGGAAACTTAAGGGCGCGTTGTGAACATAAATCCATTGCTAGGTATACAAAGCTGAATACGTTCGGCCTCAGTCACCGGATCCCAGTCAAAGGACCGGGCATAGAAGCGGCCGCGCCTTTGCCATGGAATGGAATTTCATTTCATTGTCTGTTGCATATCGCCAAATATCGCGTAATTACTGGCAGAAAAGTGGCCCAAAGAAGTCGCACCTTGCATTTGCCCTCCCGATCCACAACGTTCTGGTTCAAGCTTGTTATAGACGTAATTTTGTTGGCTCCAATTTTTTTTTGCGGTCTCTGCAATGCTACAATTTGAGTTTTTAAATACAAACAAGCAACGTCATATGCGATGAGCTATAAAAATGCTCCAGTTATTACTGTCTTATCTGCGTGAATGATATTCCTGGCAAATGCACTGAACAACTTATGTGTTACAAACACCTTACGTGTTACTGAACAAACTTACGCTGTTTTTATTGTGATAAAGGTTTTATCCGAACCTCTTGAATGGATGGATTCTTGGGATCAGGACTCACCTTAATCGCTGCTGGTTGTGTGAGCCGTGGCCCGTACCATCCGGCCATGAAATTCAAGGTCAACGCCAGAATTTGGTGGCGAAAATGAAGCGTGCTGTAAGGCTGGGCACGGCCCTCCTATCGTCTGACCTTCATCGCGACCACTGCGACCCGTCGCACGGCATTTCTTGTCCGGGCAAATAGCGGGCGCCTAAAGCGACTTGAACCCACCTCACCTTGGGAGGTTGGCCGGAAAGCAGGCGCTCAATCCAACTGAGCTACCGAACGAACAACTATTTAACTCGAAAAAGTGGTCAGCTGTCAAAAACCCATTTTTGAGACCAGGGCTCCACACAGTTGTCAAACGTGCCGGACAATTGGCATTTCGATGTTATTAATTTGTGGAGTTCACGAAATTTCAGAGGGATGTCGGCAACGTCCGCACTTACGCAGAGAAACCCTCCATAAACTTGACACTGGGTGGGTACGATAGGGTTAGGTCCACGCGCCTTTCATAGGGGGAATTAGGTCAACGCTCCAGGCCGACCTGGTAGGTGACCGAATATTTATCCAGTGGTTTGCCTAGTGATAGTTTATGTGGGTAAGGTACCCTATAGAAGCGACTCCCCTGGCTGAGAAACAGATGTTTAATTCAAAAGGCGGGGATAGCAGTGAAAGCGACGCATCCTTGACTTCTCATCTTGCTTGGACCAACCGCAGTAACGCTAGCAGTGCGAGCCCAAAACTCATTCAAGACTGTCTAAGGGCTGGTCATCTTCAAGAAGGGTATTATGTCGTTGGGAGTTCGAAAGAGCTCTTTAGTCGTGCTGTGGCCGTTTTTCACCAACGAGAGCAGATACAGTTCTTAACCCGTGGTGTCCTGCAGTACGAGCGGTCAGTAAGAGTACGTACTAGAACTGTTTAAGCATGTTCTGTTCCAGTTAAGCGGGCTTTGAGCGCAGCCTATTCTAGACGCTACGGCGGGGACAATGACTGGTATACTCGAAAAATTTTCACTGGTGTGTCTGTAGACCTGTATTACATGGCATGCCTCGCCACTGGAAGTCTTCGTATTGAGCGCCTGGATGCAGAAAGTGACATTAGAACCTGTCGCCTTCCCGCAGGCGAATTACGACAGGTCGTTCACCGACCGCGTCTACTCGTGTCCGGAGGTGACGTACGCCGAGCTCAAGAGCCGCACCATCCGCCACAACGGCTGCGTCCGCATCCAGTACGTCACCAAGGACTCCTTCAAGAGGACGTCCAAGATGCTGGGCCTGATGGACGACCTAAAGGTAGGCTGGCCGACGCGGCGCTCGCCGTGCCCGGAGTACTGGTCTGTGGCGGGACAGGCAGATGCTCTCTAACCAGAAGTACTGGCCTGTGGCGGGACGGGCGGGCGCTCTGTAACCGGGTCTGTGACGGGACGGGCAGACGCTTTCTAACCAGAAGTACTGGCCTGTGGCGGGACGGGCGGGCGCTCTGTAACCGGATATGTGGCGGGACGGGCAGGCGCTCTGTAACCGGGTCTGTGGCGGGACGGGCAGGCGCTCTGTAACCGGATCTGTGGCTGGACGGGCGGGCGCTCTGTAACCATGTCTGTGGCGGGACGGGCAGATGCTCTGTAGCTGTGTCCACAGTACGGGTCTGTGGCGAGACGGGCAGGTGCTCTGTTACTGTGTCCACAGTACAGGTCTGTGGCGAGACGGGTAAGCGCTTTGTAACTGGATACGCGCGGAAGAGGACTGCTGTAAATGCGGGTCTTCGATGCCAAGCCGCTTCGAAGTGAAACCCACGGCGTTGTTGAAGAAGAGGGTGTGGCCGAGCAGGGCTGCATGTGTTGTGACCTGTACTTAAGAATCGCTTCGCTGAGAAGAATGGTTCTTAAACTCCGAAATATGCACTGGAATGTTCGCCGACATATGAAGTGATGCCCAGCAGTGGCTATTCTTGCCTTTCCTACTTAGTGAGACATTCTGTCTTAAGGTGGTTACCTACCAGCATGTGGAACGGTCGCAATCCATGTTCTAGGATGTTCCGTGCACGTCTCCCCTGCTTTTTAGTGCAAAGTTATTTCATGCACACTGTTACAAATATGTGAATCTGCTTACCAGAATTCAGGCTCTGGAAACATAGCACTGAGACTCAGGAATAATAAGCAGATGGATTCCGCTGTTAAATATCCGCTGCTCGTTATCGCTAACGAAAGTCAAGAATCGTTATTTGGGGAGGAATTATCAGGTTATGTTGCGTATGTGGCAGACTGCTGATTCGTTTGACAACAAAACAAATGCATGTTACCCAGCCTGCATTTATGAGAATGCGCTTCCATGGTCTGAAAACTGAAGTGGAGTACTTGCGTGAACATGCTTATACAAAAGATGGTAAAATACGATATTATTTTGGACTCTGGGCGTTCTGTGTGCGCGGTCAAATAAGTAAGCCCTAGTCACACATTGGTCACGCCTAGGGAAGGGGATAGTTCAGTTTGGCGAATATCAAGCATTGTACTGAAGAGGGAAGTAAGCACTCGAGGTGTCTGTTTCTGATGTTCGTCTTTAGAGCGTCAGAATTTGTCGGGTTGGAAGCACGCTTGTTCCGCATTGTATGGTAGTGCATAAGGTTTCAAACGCGGGATGGTTGGAGCGCCAAACCTTAGCAGGTGTTCGGTCGTGTGTCCGTGGGCAGGTGTCTAGCAACAACACGGCAAGCAGTGCCTATTGTAGGACTTAATAGGAACGGATTATGGTCACGAAGCTTGCCAACAAGTGGCTGGCTGGTTTCAATTGAAAACAACCATTGCGGGAAAGCGTGAATGTTATCTTCCGGTCATGACAGCAATGTTGTTATCGCAATGTAGCCAGGATCAAGTAAACCTGTAAGCAAACCCAGGCACATAAAACTACGTCACCTAATCATAGTTCATAGCTGTCAGCTGCACTTTCTTCAATAAGACCCAGTTGTTGGCCGGAGAACGTGGCGTAGCCCGGCAAGTGGAGAAGGGATTTAGCCGAAGACATTTTTTAACATGTGGCTACAGCTGAGCTTAACATCAGTTCAACCGCTGATGAGAATGTTGACTACTCCCCTTGATGTCTTCGCAACTTAAGTCTCAAGCATCACGTCGTGTTCACCTGCGGTTTGAGCTCCGAGCGCGGTGTTGTGCAAGGTCTCATTTCTGCCACGAAATATTAGCGTCATTATTATTTGACGTCCGGGAATTTATTGTGAATCAGCATGAGATGTGGGGTAAGGAGTATTTTCGGCGTTCTGGCTGCTGTTTCCGCTCTCGCGGCTTGTTTTGGCGCTCACTTGTGTGCAATGGGGAGGCGGCTCTTGCTTGTAGCCGGTAAAAAGTAAAATACATATTAAAGATAAAATGATAGTAGAAATGTTATTGCATCAAATATATATTGATAAAGGAATGATGATATAAGTATTATTAATGTGAGGTAAAAACAATATTAACGGTATTTCACAGGCTGTATGGCGTTTTCCAATCACATGTCGCGACGATCGCTTGTGCCCATTTTGTATAGTTTCCGCCCTGGACTCCCATGCCCTGCTCTGGCCTCTCATGCAAGGCATGTAATTTACTACCGAAAGACGGAGTTATTTACTCATGTATCGTCTTTGACGTTCGGGCTTGTCCAGGCCTCCCCATCTCGTGTACGACGGTGTGGCTCTAACCGGCTCTGCATGGCTTTGCATACGCATCCGGTGTTGCAGGGACCGTGCGTCCGCCGCCGCTGTGTGTGTCCGTCCGCCGCCCTCTGACCGGTGTCTGCATACGCAGCCGGTGTTGAAGAGACCCTGCGTCCGCCGCCGCTGTGTGTGTCCGTCCGCCGCCCTCTGACCGGTGTCTGCATACGCAGCCGGTGTTGAAGAGACTGCGTCCGCCGCCGCTGTGTATGTCCGTCCGCCGCCCTCTGACCGGTGTCTGCATACGCAGCCGGTGTTGAAGAGACTGCGTCCGCCGCCGCTGTGTGTGTCCGTCCGCCGCCCTCTGACCGGTGTCTGCATAAGCAGCCGGTGTTAAAGGGACCCTGCGTTCGCCACCACCGTGTGTGTGTCCGTTCGCCGCCTCTGACCGGTGTCTGCATACGCAGCCGGTGTTGCAGGGACCCTGCGTCCGCCGCCGCTGTGTCTGTCTCTGACCAGTGTGTGTCGCCGACAGTCGGGCGTCCCGCGCACCGGCTACCGGGGCGTGGTCAGCTTCTTCTACGAGGGGCGGCGCGTGCACCTGGCGCCGCGGCCCGACTGGACCAAGTACGACCTGAGCTGGAGCTAGCGGGCGGCCGGCGCGCTCCTCGCACTCTGTGATAGGCCGGCCGCGGGACTGGGCTCCGTCTCCGGCTCCGGCTCCGGCTCCGGCTCCGGCTCCGGCGGCGCGCGGTCGACCTCGCGCTGTGATACGCGCTGGCGACGGGTGGACGCGGTTGGCGGCCGAGCGCTGACACGCGTCGCGCCCTGTTGTCTGTTGTCGAGGGCACTGCGGGCCGCTGCGCCGCCGCCCTCGCGCTGGACACGCCTCGCGAGACGTGCTGCCAGATCCCGGACGTTTTCCGGGCGGTGTCTGGCGTGGCGCACGATGTAGAGCGTGCGCCCTTGATGACTGTCGCGGGTTACGTGGAGCGGTGTATCTACCAGGCGCGAAAGCCACCACCTTAGCGGTGAATGAGCTCCCGGGAGCGTGTGGTCACGTCACCTGTTTGTCCACTATCGTCGGATTTGGGAAGCCAACATCTGTATGTTTGGTGACTATGCAAGAAACGTGATGCGGGCGACGCGCGCGACCTCAGCGGTTTCCTTGCCGGGCTGGATATGGTTTCCAGAGTGTCGTTACGTGGGTGCGTATCATGTGATGCCTGAAATTATCCAGCGCTGGCTTAGGAGAAGGCTTTGGAGCGCGCCGGCAGTCTGTCTTGGCGCTGTCCGAGCGGCGCCGGCAGTTTGTCTTGGCGCTGTCTGGGCGGCGCCGGCAGTTATCTTGGCGCTATTTCGGCGGCGCCGTCCGGGAATCTCCTCCGAGGTCGGGGATGTGGGGTGGCGGCTGAGTTTCGGTCAAATCCCGTGGAGGGACCACCGCCGCTGGCAGGGGGGGGGGGGGGCGTGAGCCTCCGGGGTCCATGCGAGGGCTCGCTGATGCCAGGTGCCAGCCACGGCGACCGAGTCTCAAGACCAGCTGGGTTCCTCAGTCACACAACGTTTTGGGTGCGTGTTGGTGGGAAATTTAAGTCAGTCACGCGTGTGTTTTTAAGGATTGTTACCGTGTCTGCAATATTTATGTGTCACAAGCACTCTGTTTGGAATTATGTTTTGGTGGGCTTGCGTCGACTCTGTTTTACGAGCGTGATGGAATAAAGAGGCGTGATGGAATAAAGAGGGTGATGATCGACGGCCGAAAACGTCATTCGCGGACCATTTTCAACTGAACTACAACTGCGATATAGGATGCGTAATGCACACTGCGGTGGATACATTGGCAGGTCTCGCAGCTTCATAGCCTCGTTCCATGCATATTTGTCGGAGCCTTATTCGCGTTTAGCTCATGCGCATTATGAAAGACCAGGTGCGGCGTGCCCGACTTTGTGATGAGGTTATAACAATGGTTTAGTATGACTGGCTTTTGGATTCATCAGGGCACTCTTGGATGGTTCCACACCAGTGCTGTGGTAAAAAAACTACCGACAGTAGTGCCACGACATGCGGTAGTGGTTCGATGTGGTAGTGGTGCCGACTACACCACTACCGTATCCCGCGCGCATGCGATCTAATCAAAGCGTCCCGTCTCGAAATGGCCCTGGCAGTCGGCGGGACGTTAAGCCCAAACTATTACTGTTGCTTCGACTGTAAAGATCTCTAAACATCAGTGCTACTGAGAAGCAAAATATGTCCTTCGAACACTTACACCCGTCATTGCGTATGCTGCAAAACTTTGCAATCTTGACCTGCACGCGGCAATATTTCTGCTGGCAATACTCATGCGTCGCATGAGTTTCATGCGACAAAACGAGGGGAGGGGGAATGACAGGTGGGGTAGGACTGGGGAGGCAGGAGAAGGGACCACAGTCTTGGTTCTGCTGCATTTTTATTTTGCCCTCTGAGAGTTTTGTCCTCTGTATTTTCGCCGTCTCGTTATCTGCTATCTCCCTGCGCTAAGTAATCTTCCCCGCACTGCGTCAGAACTACAGCTATTGTTCGCTAAGAGCATGGCTGTGTGCATTTGGGAGCCGCATACGGCTTCCAGCTGCCAGTACAACACACTCGTCGAATTCTGGTTTCCATTTTCTTTAATCAGTCTCCCCCTCCCTCCCGCCGATGGCACGTTACCCAGTGTTTGTGTCCGTACCGAACGGTGATTTTTTTTAAAGTCGCAGCGCGCAACTTAAAATAAATTTGGTCGTGCTCGGTGTGTGCAACCCTTTTCACGTGTTGTTATTGTGAAAGCGCATTCGCGCGTTGAAATAAATCGCACGTCTTCCATATGACTATTTCTGTTCAAATTCCTGCCGCTTGACTGATATCAGTGTAGTGGCCCTGATATGGTGACCCGGAAAACACTTTTAAACGTTCACAAAGAGCGTGACGGTGGGATTTCGATGTCACTGGTGTAGGGCTGTCAGCTGCCGATGCAACACAGTTGAGCGATTTGTGAATCAGTCTCATTCAGCCTGCTACGCGTTCTGTCTGTTCTGTTTCTGACGAAATTGTAACCAAAAACAGCATACATTTTTAACTGGGGACAAATTCATATAAACCATTCCGGCTTGACTTAAATGACGATAGGCAAAAAGCAAGGATACTGAAATTTAATCCATCACCAGCATCATCAGCGTTTTGGGAGATTTCATTTGCACCAGTGATTCAGTTGCTGGCAACGTAAAAGGTCCCAGAGGTTAGGACATCGGTTTCAGTGCACGGGTGGTCGGCGCAGCAGGCCTCGGGCCGATGAGCACGTTGGTCCTGTTCTGTTCAGATGGTGTAGAATACATGTGTCCATTTTACTTGGTGGCCCCTGTGTGTTGGTTTTGCTATGCAGTCTCCGTGTAAGGTTTACTGGGCGGTCTGTTTTGGGTTGTCGGTCGTAGCAGGCGGCCTCTATGTCTATTGCTTTACGGTGTTATTGCGTTCGTGATTGCTGGTCGATGTGCGTTTAATTTCAGAAACCATTTAATTTAATAGGTCGGAGGGCTTTGTGCTGCTGCTGGGACCCATATAAGGTAAGGTACCTAGCCAATCATGCCCAGGGGCCCTCTGCATTGATCTAGGATTCTTGCCCTTTTATCTCGTTTGTGGTGGACCCTTTGTTCCTGTCGATGCCCTTTCTGTTAACTTGCCCAGGCACTCTTGGTCGCAGAGGGGCATTCATTCACTCACACCAGTCTTGGGCAATGTCTCTTTGCTCAGAGGGCCCTGTGCTCTGGCCGGTGTCCTGTATGTCAGCCTGCCGGGGAACTCTCGATCATTCAGGGACCCACCAAGGTTCAGTCCCTATTGGTGGCTCAGCCTTAGAGCAGCAGCCGAATATGCGCCACCGAATTTTTACGCGCAGTTGTCGAACATAATGATACGTGCCGCCGACGTCGTATGTGCTATTTCCGTTGGGTATTCAATTTTTGGTACCTATTATACTTGTGCGTTACGTTCTTGACGTATTTTAGATACTACATTTTGTACTCCTTTGTAACAAAGGAAGAACTCTGCTTTAGTCCAGCCGGTTAGCTGTAAATAAGCTGGCAATCAAGTTTGTGCTCGATTTGAATGGTATTGAGCGGCCGACTTTCTCTGATTTTGCTATGTTTTCCAAAAAATTGATATTACAAATATTTTAGGCCAATGAATGATCATGAATGATTCACCTGATCTGAAGAATAGTAATAAGCTCCATGCATGTGCGTACCTAGTACGCCTAGTTTGCTAGGGCTGCGCAAAGTAAGATAGGTTCCCAAATAAAACCTGCGAAGAATATTGAAATTTAATAGCCGGAAAGCGATTTTTTCGGGGGGTTCCTTAAACTCTTGGGGGGCCTTTAATGCTGGTTGCCCTCCCCCCCCCCATTTCACGAAGTCCTGGATCCGCCCCCCGTCCAACCAACCACTGCCAGAATGCTCACTGAGAGCCGTCCCGCTGCATCATGTTACAAGACCATAAAACACTTAAACGGAATGCCAACCTTTGAAACGTATTTCAAAAATATACTCTAGTGAAACCTTGGACCAGTTCATCTAATAACAACACCGGGCAGTGCCAGTGCAGCACCGTCCAGGCATAATAAGGGCATCAATTTTAATTATTTCCGGGTCCAAATTCTGCTGCCAACTCTTTGTAACAGCACTATGCTTCTTCCCTTTAGTTGCTACAACTGTCGTCGTGACAGTGTAACTCTATTACAATACCTCTACTGCATTCGCACGAGTATACTGGTGCAAATAAAAGAACGTTTGTGATTGGCCCAGCGGTCAGGCGTCTGTTACCCCGAGAAGCTCACGGGTTTAAGTTTGAGCCAGCCCGCCTCTGTGGGCCATGAGATGCTGTCTTTTACAAAGCCAAAGTGCGCGTCGGACAGCACCACCGTGGTAAACGCCGTAGGGGAAAATAAAAACCATAATATAGCGTTTTGTTAAATTTGCGGAATAATTACTATGCGTTGGCATATCTTTTTGTCTGAACAGCGTGTTTCCAGCCTTCACAGCATATATTGCACGATTATTTTGACAAATTAATGTTGCAAACATTACATAATACATACACAGGAAAAAGTAAAGTAAATGCAATGTATGTAGTGCTGGTAGTGGTAATGGCAAATGCAGTGGCTGCCAACCGTACGCGTCTGATTTAACAATAAGTAAAAAGTACAAAAGGTGGAATGCTCCCTTTAAAGATCAAGCAAAGCTAGTGAAAGCAGTTGAAAGCCATAATGGAAAATTCTGCAACATTCATTAAATCTGATTACACCTAAATAAATTGCGGGGATTCTGCTATTAAATTTCAATATTCTTCGCAGGTTTTATTTGGGAACCTATCTTACTTTGCGCAGCCCTAGAAAACTAGGCGTACTAGGTATGCACATGCATGGAGCTTATTCTTATTCTTCAGTCAGTTGAAGCTTTGACCTCAGACTAACCTCGGCCAGCGCAGTGACTTGGCTTGAAGTTCAAAATTTCCTCAAGTATTAAACGGGCGGTGCCAAAAAGTTGCAAAAAATTTAATGGTACTCCGCTCCATCGTTCTTTTTTGTCGCTGTTTTTTCTTTTCTTTTTTGCTGGGCGAGGAAACATTAACAGGGAGGATTTCTGTACCCCAGGCCGTCGTTGTCGTCATTGGGGCTTTACGACGCACTCAGCTGCTGGAGCTATATGCCTTCATCTGCCCCTCACCCTGGCAGGAAGGGTGGGCACCGCGGAGACGCATCCTGCCCGAGTCCGGCTGAGACCCTGTCTTCATTTCAAATAAAAAGTGAATCACACCAAAGCTGTTTAAAAGACGATCGCTCAAAGGTTTAATGATACTTAATCGAGATATACTTTTAACGTAAGAAATTCATCAAAATTCTCGTACAGATTGGCACTGGGACACGGATCACGGTAGTGGATAAAAATATGATTACTGGCGCCATCATGCAAGGCATCTACACGCAAAATTATTAAGGTGCACATTGAGCAGAAAGCATGCCACAAATTACAGGGCCGTATCTGCTTGCGCTCGAAACCGTCAACAAGAGCAAGACGGTGGAAATAGTGATAGCACTTGATGATTTTCGACGAAGTGTGTACAAAAATAGCGGTCGTACGTGGAAGATCATGGTTATTGCATTGAAGCACGAGCGCTGCAATCCAATAAGTTTTCACTTTTCCCTTTAGATAATTGCTAATTTCCATAGGCTACAGGCACGTGATGATCCAACCACCTTCTAATCAGGCTATGAGGCATCAAGGCATCAGGCATTAAGGCTTGGAAGGCAATGAGTGTGCTCGGCCAGTAAAAGGGGAAAATCGCCGAGCGGTCTTTGAGAAGCTTCGTTGCATTGTACTAGCTTTGTAGCAATGTAATCCTGACGATTCGAGGTGATTGCAATATGGTAAGAATCGGGAATATGGGCCGTCAGTAAAAAATTATGTGAACAATATGTTTTTCCTGCAAGAGGAGGGACTAACCCTCTTATTCTCCCTTTCAGGGGTATGCGTCCCCTGTCCCACCCACCCCGCCTATGGCACTGCCCCTGTTTAAGCTTCTCATTAATTATAGAAGAAACTTTCGTAACTTATTTATCCCTGCCCACCAAATCTCTACCGTAAATAGATCTGCGCAACGTAAGTGTTATAAGACACAATTTTTACCTTTCTGTTACTTAACAGACCTATTCACGCCATTGCGTCTTTCGCGAAAACTGATCCAGTCTTTTTACGAACGAACGACTACTATTCATGAACGTCACTTACAATACCATATTTACTGGATGAAACGAGACGAGACGGAACGTCACGGTACGAAACGGGACGGAACGAAACGGAACACGACAAGAAACGGGACGGAAAGGAGCGGAACGGAATGGAACGAAACGAGAGAAGACAGAACGGGACGTGGCTGGGTGCGACGGGACGGGGAGAAGTGGGAAGAGACTGAGCAGAGCGGAGCAGGATAAGGCAAGGTAGGCCGGTACAGGGCAGAGGAATTGACAGGACAGGGCAAGCTATAGGACAGGACGGAGGCGGGCACAGGACAGGTCAGTGCAAGGCAGGACGAGACAGGCATCATGATAGAACAGGACAAGATTGGGTTTGTCTTGTTTCGTCCTTTGTCTTTTCCACGGACCTGCCCTATTTCTCCTGCCCCTTTACGCTATCCCTACACCGAGCAATTTGCCCTCCGTTCTGCCCTGTTCTTTGCCGTACCCGCCCCTCCCCCTCCTGCATAGTTCTTATCGTCACGTCCATCCATCCCGTCATGCCCGCCATGCAATGTCAACAATCATGCCCGTCCTTTGCCCGTCTCGTGTCTTACTCGATCTCGATCTGCCCTCTGTCTTGCCCTGTTCATGTCCCTGCCCTGTCAATGCCCCACCCTGTGCTCCGTTCCCTGTGCTTTGCTGTCCCGCCTTGCTTTGTGTTGTCATGAGGACACAACATCCAGTATCTGTGCGGTCCTCTGTGCAGTTTTATGGGCCATTCTTTGAACTGCCCTGTATCTCGTCGTATTAAGGTTGACTGTTGGGGAAAATGAGGACTGATTGAGGGGAATGTCGTCTTGCTGTGCTGTTGTGAGACTGGGCTGTTACTGGCAGTGGTTATGTCAGAAGCTGTGAAATAAATTTTGTAGTGTGTTTCCCTGACCTCCGAGTTTTTTATGTCGAATGAGACAGTATTGCATCGGCCGGAAACTTGGCAGAACTCTCCCAGGATTACAAACATTGCATCACATTTGGTCGTTACGCCCCGCCCATCACATCACGTAAGGGACAGGAATTCTGCCACTTCAGTTTCAGCCCCAGTTACCAAGCCGCGGGATGAATTGCATGGCAGGAGATATGAAACCGGGTGCGAGATCGCGGCCTGCAGCAGACCAGCAGTGTATGAAAAATGCGTCGACACACAGCAGGGGCCGAGGAACGATGTACCGGTTGGTAGAGGAAGGGCTCAACCGGGCATCATGTTGTTCATTTGTGATGTTCGTGTATAAGAAGGCCATATAATTCATGCATGTAGCCGGTAAGAGCCATCACATTGGCAGTAATGCCACCGCGCATAACGTTCCCACATCGTGGAATGGGCATCTCTAGTCTGATGTCATACGTTTAGCTGCTTTCATGCGTGGGCTACCACCGGTACCTTGGTGACACCTCCATCTGTAGGCAGAAATACTAAAGACCACCACGTTTGAAGCATACGTTTTATCATTGAGCACTTACGTTGCGCATGTTTAGTAACAGTAGAAGCCCTATCGCGAATAAGAAGTTCATAATAGTAAGCAAGCAAGAAAATAAGTATATAAGTCTACAAAAGTGCTTTCAGGGGAAGCTGTGATGAGCGCAGGTTTTTAAGGCATGCATTATGTCGTGGAACACTAATGCCGCATAAACGTATCGGCCGTACAAGTAATGTCGCGTAGGAGAAAGGACTGCCGAAGAGTTTGCAACAAAAGTCATGTCACGTAGATCCGTTTTCGTCGCAATGAAAAGTTGACCTCATTTTTTTTTTACAATAGCACTAGTATCGCCACATTCCCGTGACACCCTTGTCCCCCTCCCCCTCCCCCTACGCCACCTCCCTCACCAAGCCTCTCAGTGTATGATTAGGGGCAATGAGAGTTCCACCTAGCTGGGTGACCTGACAGCCATTTTTGATCAGTTCTTTCCATTCAACGCTGATAAAGCCGCTGTTAAGTCTGCATGACCCAGTTGAGCTATTATGCCCAGAAGCCCAGAAGGGCCCAGCCCCTCCTGGTCCCTCTAGCTCCCCGCATCCCATTTTACAGTGCTGGAAAATTTTGACGTCATGCGACTACGGTTCAGGTTGAAAGAAGACGGATTCAGCTACATGGGTTGATGGCGAACTCTTCCTCAACCCATTATATATCTTTAATGTATTCATAAATTGCCGTTTAGCCTCGTTAGTTATGATAGCTCTTCATTTCGAGTGTATTCCTCCACCGCTGAGTGATTTTTTCACGTATGGATTTGGCAGGGTTTGGTAGCGTTTATTTCAGACATGAAACTGACGATGCAGAGTCAAATACTAACCTTCACAGTAAAAAAGAAGTTTCCTGCAGGCTGTACACGTTCATCTTGAGGTATTGGGGAGATCGCTGGCGATATGACGGTGGAGAAAGGGAGCTGGTTTCTTAGTTACGGATGTGCCTTGTCTGCCGTATTTTCTTTTTTGGTATCATACACGAATTTGGCAAAGTTCTAACTCCAACATGAGAACTGCCCTTTCAGGATAGTTGAAATATTTGTCTAATTAAAATTGTTAGCAGACCCTCAAACTTATTGCTTGAACACGACTATGATTTGTTCCTTGATCCGGCATAAGCTACCATGCAGCCCTAAGTGTAATCCATGTGTCTTCATTCTGCAGCACTCATTGTATGACAAGCAAGGTGGCACAAACAAATGGCTGCTGTGTTGGTTACCTTTCATGTGGATCTTTGCATTTGTGCATCTCAAAACATTGGTGTAGTATATTGCTTTCATTCATGAATTTCTGGTTTTTTATCTTGGGGGCTGTTCAGTGAAGTGCAAATGTATGTGATTTATCAATTGGTAATGAAGAAGAGTGTGATTGCCTCTTACAGTTCAATAATTTGAAACATTCAGGCTGTACACTTTTATTTTGGATACAGGCAATGGTGATATATCACACCCTTAAAGAACCAGTGCCTTCCTTTTGGATATTGCTTGTGGTATTTCTCAAGTGGTCCAAAACATGTTTTATGAAATAAAATCTGTCATGATTTCCTGTCCTGGTATAACATGTGAAGGTACTGCATTTGCTGCATTCCAGATTTTTCACACCTCAGGGAGGAGGTATACTGGCCAACATATATGTATGCTGCCACTGCACCAATGTTGGTTTTGTTTTGTTATGTCCTGAATTGTTTTAGAGAACACATTTTATGACAGGGGGAGTAAATAACAAAGAATCTGCTAAATAATTTAACAACTTATTGACTTAAATGCATTTCAAACTCTTAAAATTATCTAAGGCCACAGTTGCAGTCTAAAGTACCTGGAAATGACAGGAAGCTGAACCACATAGCCAGTCATAATTATTACTGGTAAACAGTTTTAGGTGGAGGATTTAGATTGTAAATTGTTTCGACAAGAAAGTAGCAAAATATTCAAACAGCAAGAAAGCTGCATGACACATTTTTACACAACTGCACATAAGACAGATATTCTTTAGATTCCTTAAGCACTGTATGCAATGTGAGTACATTTAAAGTTACTGCTTACCAACTGGATATCAAAATATAATCATTTTTATCTGTGAGGTCTTTATAAGATAAGAAAACATGATGAATACTGCATGTAATCCAGTACCTCTGACATCTTCTAGGCACAGCAGCATATAGGATCTCCACTTTGTTTAAATAGCTTTTTCCTTACATGTGTAGCGTAGTGAGCTTGTTTATATCCCATCTCCTCCCCTCTTCTCCTTAATTTAGGGGATGTGGCTGTACTGATCTCCCCAACAGACCATGCCATCTGGAGCAGTATTTGTGGATGGAGCCACAATATTGGCATACACAGCCTGTGCTCTTATAGAAGAACATGTTCAAAGGCAGGTTTTGTCTATGTAAAGCATGGTCTGGGTTGAACTGCAAAACTCATGGTGATTTGCAATCAAATTCTCATGAAAAGTTTAGTCACAGTGTCACATGAAATTCTCACAATATGACTGTGATCAAAGTTTTGCACCCATGCAATCCAGTCCCTTCCACCTGTGATGCTCTAATCACATTCTGACCAATGCAAATTGATACCACAAATGGAACCACTTCTGTATGCTACCAACATGTTGTTTGAGGAAAACCTATATAGAAACCATTGGTACTGGATGCAATGTGTAATGCTGGGAAAGCTTTCATCAAAGAGCATCGAAAGAAGTTGGCTGACTGATTGCACAGCCATACAAACCATCTTGCAGGCCATATGGGAAAATCTAATGGTTGCAGTACTGATTTATGAATTTTTTTGACCCTATCATTCTTAGTTGACCCCACAACAGTATCATGTTTCAATTGTATGCATGGATATTATGTCTGCTTCACATTTGATGATTTTTTACAGGTATAAGCAAGAATCATGCCACCCAAGCCACCTGTCCAGCCCAGGGACATTTCGCCTCTGCTGCAGATGCTGAGAAATGCTTTGTTAGGGGTAAATATACCAGATGTTTTTTAGGTCAAATGAGTAGTTTGTCATGCAATGGTAATTGTCGATAGTAAAATAATTCTCATGAGTTTTGGGAAACTGGCTACACCTTTATATTAGAACACTGCTATTATAATATGCTTTGTATGTTTATTATTTGTTGTCAGGCTTTTGATGGATGTCATTGGATGACCCCTGGCTCCAAATGGGGTCACGGAATAAAAGACACCTCCAGAAACCCATGAAAGCATGTACAGAAGCCATTGCAACAGTCCTACATCACATGAGTCACAGTCAGGATGGGTGCTGCACTGAACCCTTCAAAAGGCTGCTTCCTTTTTTATAGTATGCATCAGAGCTCCGGCTTGACTCGCGGAGGAAATGTATGCTTGATGCATATGGCAGCAATGCAATATTGTGTGGCTGCTTCTGAAAAAGCAATATACTGGCTGACAGCCCCAGATGCCTACTTGTAATCTGTTATGCATTGTAGAGAATCACTTGAAGGCTTGATTAATTACTGCAAGATGACCTGATCATCAGCGTGCTAACCGTACCGAGCCGATCAGGTCGCATCTGTTATAGTTCGGGTAAAGACCGCCAGATGGGGATAATCTGACTGCTTGATTTGGCCACATAACAAATCACTCCAAACTCTTAAGTCGTTGCAGTTACAGCTGAACGAACGATATTCGGTGCTTTGATTTTTCCGAAGTGGTTGCGGATTTGGGTCCCACCATGTTGCTGATAGAAGGCGGCGTCGCACGCTGGCGGCCCTCTACCTGTATCGCCGACCTCTCTCTATCCCACAGCAGCGTCACCATCTGGCGGCTCGCTCCCTGTGTCGCTGACCTCTCTGTGTCCCTCAGCGGCAACACTCGCTTGCGATCCGCTCCCCGGCGTCGCTGACCTCTCTGTGTCCCACAGCGGCAACACACGCTGGCGATCCGCTCCCCAGCGTCGCAGGCTGTTCGGCCGCGCTCGCAGCCGGAGCCCGTGCTGCCGGAGGGCTCGCTGCACAAGCTGAGCGCCAACTACTACCATACGCGGGACGCCCGCCGCGACCAGACGCCGCCGCTCCTGCTCGTCGAGAACACGGGCGCCGCCCTGCTCGCCGCCAAGAAGAGCAAGAAGGAGAAAAAAGCGAAGAAGGAGAAGGCGGCGGCGGACGCGGCAGTGGCGGCTGAGGAGACGTAAGTGCTGGAGCAGGCCGCTCAGCCTGATTGGGTGCCTGGTTTGGAGGCTGTTAGAGAGCAGACGCAGGTAGGTGCGGGGCTGACTTTGCGTGATGAAGGGGCTTTAGCACGGTTTCCATCAGTGTCCATAGCGCGTCCATGGATCTTCATTGTTTCGTGTCAACCCTTTGGTCTGACGTCGCAGTTTACCATGGCCGTGTGGCTGGCGCTTTGAGATAGTCAAACCAAGTTGTTAAACCCCTTTTAGACGCTTGCCAATTTTTGTAAAGGTTGTTCAGGACAGTACAAATGTAAGGCATATCAATCATTTAGTCACGCGACCAATGCTAAGGACCTTACAATAGTGTTTTGAGAGTCACATTTTTGTAAAAAGAAATCTGGGACGGTCGACTGTCGGCATATAAAACTAGAAAAGGAGAACACTATCAACACCACCAAGACACACCATAGTGAACAATCACACAGATGTTCCAATTTTCCCACACGTCAATGTATACACAAAGCCTCACAGTTTAGACGAGCTCATCCAAAAAGAGAGCATTTGTTCATCTCTCTTGGCATGAGCTCGTTAAATCTGTGCTGTGTGGTTTGTCGCGTGTGGATATTGAAGCGTTGTGTGATTGCGCACTCTGACGTATCTTGATGGTATCTACGGTCTTTAATACCACCAGGTACAGTCCTCCGCTGTCGTCAGTACGGCGCATGCGCGGCCTGGTGACGTCATTGACGCTACAAGCCAGGAGCGCTTGCATCGGGATAAAGCCCGAGCAGATAGCAAGTCGTTGCAAAGCCGTTATTTGGCTCCTTGTCACCATGTCTATTTCTTGGAGTGTTAATGACGTTTTCTTGTGCTCTGCTTGCAGGAACAGCGAACACGCGTATTTGCTTGCGATGTCTCAGACCTGGAGGTGTTGTTTTTCTGTTTTTAGGTTTTGAATGCCATCATGGGCTGTGCTCGAAATTCGATACACAACAATTGACTGACTGTTTTGAACAAGTCTTTGGCACTTGTTGCATGAATAGATGCTTGTTTAAAAGACGTAACGTATCGCACAGAAATGTGCGTGGCATTCTGTTTCATCCTATTCCAAAGCGGGGTAAGAGTAGTTTCTCTGATGGTCAAGTCCATTGCTGCTGTGTGACGTGCTGTCTGTGGACAGGGCGGCCCGGTCCAGTACGGTTGTGTGACGTGCCGTGTGTTGACGGGGAAGCCCGGTCCGGTACTGCTGTTTGACGTGTCGTGTGTTGACAGGGTGGCGGCGGAGGGCACCGCGCTGGCCCAGTCGGCGGTCCCCCGGCCCGGGCAGCCGTACGTGTGGGACGGCCGCACTGGCGTCTAAGAACGCCCCCAGCGTCGCGTGTACATAGTGTGAGATAGCGCCCGTATGGAGGATGCCTAATACAATATTGTGAGAGGGAAAGATTGTGTGGTATCTCTGTGTTCTATCTAACGGAGCTCGACGCCAAAATTGCCTGTATCGCGGAAGTTGAAAATGTAAAGCGGCGAGACATGGCTGTCCATTAGGGTGTGTCATCAGTAACAAAACCAAGTGAGATGAATAAATTATTTGGCGCAGGAGTCCGAAAGTACACGGCATAGAAAAACTTCTTACCAAAAACTTCAATTCGTGAGGCGCGAGTCGATCGAAATATTGCCGTAAGCCGACGCCCGGCGTTGCAGTCACCCTATGCTGAGCGGCGCCCACCGCCGCAGGTAACACCAAGCCGTAGGCGGCAACCGACACAAAATACCTTTGCGTATAGAAACGATGCTACCGAGCGCTCCTTAAGCCGTCGTAGGAGAATGTACCAGTCTAAGGCCTAATGGTCTAATATCTGGATCAGACCTTGCCCGCCTGATTGCCATTTGGTGGAAACTTTATTTGCTGCTGAGTATAAACTCGTACGAGCATGCTGGTTAATATTGCTTTAGTCTTTCACTTCTCTAAGACAAGTCACGTGATGCAAACAAAACTATGTATAGCATATGGCTCATAATATGTTGTCTGGTGTACAACTTAATGCGTACAGCAAGTTCTGCAGCTTGTAGCACGGACGTAGAGGGGGCGGTAGGGTGACGCCATGCACATCTTGCTCCTTGCCGACCCTGTGTATCCGATGCGCCGGCCAAAACAGCAACTGCTCACAGACTGGAAACCCAAAACGCGTGTTGGGAGAGATTGCACGGTAGCAGAAATACCTTCGCAGCTCGGCTTCACATATTGTCGAGGCTCCAGCTCCAGCCGCAGGCGTCCTCGGCAGTGCGGCGCTGCGTCGCACTCCCAGTGTGAACCAGATAGGGCAAGATGGCCAGCGGTGCCTGCACTTTGTTCCGCAGCTCGCAGTCGCTGAGGTCTCGCAGTGGAGGCTGTGTGACTGGTCCGTGCCAGGGAATCAGTTCGGTGTACCTCACGGGCTCGAAGTTTACTGCTGAGATGGCGAAGACCCTTGGCTGAAGAAGACCCTCAGTTCGCTGCTCACGAGCGGCGCGACAACCGGAACCACCTGTTCGCGGATCATGCGGTTCTCATCTCACACCATGTCCAGCAACAGCTTGTTCCGGCCGGATCCAGTACCCGTCACGCTGGAGGGCTGGCTGCACCGTGGCCTATGTGTGCTGCGGCAGGTCGTGGAGCAGCACGATGCACCGGAAAAAGTTGCGTAAGCCAAAGTTGCAGCTGCTGTCCTGCCGGATGGCGAACCATTTCGGTACGCAGTCGCCGATCACGCACTGGACGAGGTCCTTGAGAGCGCTGCTGGAGGTATCGGTAGAGATGCAAACTAGAGGCGAGCGGCCAGTGTCAATCATATGAAAACAAAAGTGAATAGATTAGAACAATTCGGAGCGAACTGAGCATTAAATCATACAAAAATTACTGCGCCTCTTTAGTGTATGTAATTATGCCGATGTCCAGACCTTAAATGTGACGGAATGCATATCAACAAACATGCCAATAAGCATGAACCAACCAGCAAATGATATGCATACTACGACACAAAGTATGGTAATAAGAAAATGCTGAGCAGTGAGCACATGAAATAGCAGTTGATACTTGATGAGCTTTAAGCACTCATTGCTGTAAATTCGAAGATAATGCGTTTTCGTATTTACCTGACATGGTTCGATGGTGCGAAGTGGCCGCTGGGCTGCCACGTTTCGGATAGAGCCGTTTTGAACGCCGGAGGCCAGAAGGTACAGAAGCTGCTGGTTGGTGCTCAGCTGGTGAATCAGGTCGACCGGCAGGCACGTACCCGGACCTAGGCTTGAATGCCATAACGTCCCTCTCCTAAACCTCTCTGGCACAGGTCTTGCCGATGGGTCCAGAAAAATTTCGATGCCGTGGTCGTGCCGTCCAAGCTCAGCAGCAGATGGGGGAGGTTCAGCTCGTTGCCGTGCAGCTGGCAGATAAACCGGTGCACGGGTGACTCGGTGGCCAGCTCAAACAGCCGGAACGCGTCGCCTATCATTACGGTGTTCACGGTCGTGTCATCGCAGCCAAGCATATTGATGTGACCGTCGCACTGCGGGTTCACGTAGTGTAGCTCGTTGAACAAGTGCAGGGCGCGGCCGAACTAGGACGTAAAATGAGTCGAGTAGTGACTGCCTGGCTCAGTGATGACAACCACGTGTTTTTCGGCGGCATTGGTCTGGCTCCGTGTGGCTCATGTAGCTTCTGCCTTCGCGGCCGTCGGAGTAGAGGATGTCAAACCTGACTCGTGGATTGCTTCAAAATTTTACCGAACCGTCTCCTTTGTCGCTCTGTCTCTTGCGCAGCAGATCTTCTTAGGATCTACCATATTTGATTTCAAGTGGCCAGTCCGTCTCTGCTGTCTTGTTGAAAGGCGATGATTATAGCAGCAGCGGCCCGGTTTGAGGCACCGTAGCTGTCAACCGTCAGAACGGTGTTAGTCAGATCGTTAACCTTATAATCTACAGTGACTGGTCTCAGCAGAAACGAACAATCGGCGTCGTCGCCACCTTCTTCCACGTACGGAACCGTGTAAGAATCCGTGCTCCCGGCTGACTCGCTAGCGCTGACACCACTTGGTCTCGGAGCAGACTCGGGGTTAGCACTAGCAGCCAGCGCTGGGGCTCAGCAGGCGGCGCGGGCTCAGCATTTGGCGGAGAAGGCGACTCAGATTCAGCAGCAGACACCGCCTCACTAGCGGCCGAGCCACGACGCCCCTGGAGTTGTCTGACCATCCTCCGCATCTCGCGAGCCTCTCTAGCCACAATCGTACCCCGGTCATATGACCCCAGGGAAGCTTCCGGTGCCTGCACTGGTCCTTCATGGCAACCTCCTGATACACTGTGCAGGTAACTCGGCATGGATAGCTGCACTGAGGCCTGCACTTGCATTTCGCAACATCAAGAACCTTGTTGAAGTTCGAGGTGGCAGCGCTGCCGTGTCACTCTCTTTCCTTATTTGATTTCTTGCTGACAGCTCTGTTGGGATGTTATCAATTCCTCTCAATACATTTTGTCACGTATTTTAGATCATGAATAGAGATCGGTTCGTTGGTCCACAGTACCCTGGTTTCTACCGTTGCGGTCTTGCAGATGGTATTAGTGAGATTCCTCCCCGATTCGCTCAGCCACCTGATGTAGCTCAAGGCCTTCCGGTAGTCGGCAGTTGGCGGTGGGACAGAAGAGCCGGGTGGCCTACCACAAAACGTGTTCCGTGCTACCGCGAAGCATGCTTATGCAAGCAATTGTTCGAAAGAAATATTTCAGCACCGGCAAAACTAAACTACTAACCGCTTATCTCCCACGCAAAAAGCACATAAATTGCAAATCAACGTCACAATGATGTGTTAGTAATAACAAACTTCAATATAACCCGGTCTGCTTGAGCATTCTCGTAACTGCACAGCTTTGGGTTTTACTAAAAATTAATGTTCTTTACTAAAAAGCCAGTTTAAAATCTGTTTTTCAATGCTTTCTGGTGCTCTTCATACTATATCTTTCATACTTTATCCCCCAAGTACCAGCAGTGTAGAAAGTGGCGTCTTTGCGGCTTGTTGGAGGATGATCCGTGCGTAGAATAGGTAGCGCTAGTATCGAATATGGTTTTCTTGGCTTATCAAAGAAAAACTGCTCTCGCCTCACGAATATCAACATTGGTGCGGTGCGACCGACCTGCAAGTTATCATTAATCCGCGTGCCAAGGAAAAACTTTACCTCAGCTGATTCCAAGAGGTTCACCTCCTCGATGACACACCCCACAGTCCACGGCTTACAAAAGATGCTTGAATCTCAAAACGTAGCAGGGCTCTCGGAAAGATTTCAGACGGCAGCCTTTGTAAGACCGCACTGCATCTAAACCTGTGCTGATTCGCATGGCTCGTAAGCGGGATGTATCTTGGTCGGTAATTCTCTATTGCAATGTGGCAAAAACGGCGTTACGGGGTTAGCCGGTGTACCTGGCGGATGGCAAACCCATTGGTGTAGCATGAGACGAGACGCGTAGTCAGTATTGAGTGCGGCAAATGAAAGCAACACATTACATCAGCTGTCGGTTGATGTGACCTCGTAAAACCAGCCAATTGCGACACAACAAAATCAATCGAAATGACGAACCATCACCTTCTAGAAACGCCAGTGCCTTTCAAGTAACCATACTGAGTTAAATTGACTTAGTGAAGTGGGAATATTTATAGCGAACCATTGCTGGCGGAATATTTTTTTCTGATCCCCATTTAGGAAATTGGCAACATGCCATGCCATTGTAAGATGTCATTCAGTATCTTCATCACTATCAAATTACGTGTTATCAGTAGGGAACCGCAACACATGGCGTTGGTGGGCATTGCCTAACACGCACGCGTATTTTTTGGCGAGAAGAGAAGGTCCGTTTAGCGCTTCTCTGCTATACATCTTGTCCTACGTCCTGCCCGAGTTCATTTATGAGACAAAAGTTTACGTTCGGCGTCAAAAGCTTATCTTTTGATAAGTTTTTTTATATATTGATACAAACTGTGTTCTACCCAGGTGAGCCACTTGCCCGGAAATGAATCAGGAGTCTCATGAGCGTTGAACAGAGCGATTCGAAATGAGTTCAAAGACAAACAAGGTCATCCCCACATCTGCCTGAGAACGTACCTTCTTTTGCAGAATCGACAAGTGAAACAAACTACATTAAAAGGTTTGAGCTTGGGCGCCCATAATCAGCAAGGACCGCGGTGGTCTGAATTGCGGCTTTCGTGAAACCGAACAGTACTGGCCCCTGCGAGTAGCGCCTCGCGGCGGGCGTCGTGCGCATGGAAACGACGGTCGTGAAATGGTGGCCATGAATGTCTTGAAATTGGCCCACACCGCTCAAAGATCAGGCTGAGTGTGCCTTTTTTCACAACTTGGAAGCTGTCCTCTGGAAAGAATAACAGTTGCAGCAACACAAAAACAGATTCTACCTCTACTCTTCCCGTTCAACCACCAGATTCTAGCACCACTTCGCTGTGCTGTTAAGGCCAACCCATTCTTAAGATTTGGTTTGATAAGATTATATAAGATTTGTAAGCTTTGATGTCCTGAAACGTTCAAAGGTACTTTTTCAGAACTGTCATCATTATCGTCCACCCGTTGGCCATGACTCAGTATTAACCGCCGGGCCGACGCTATGTGGCCTATGGTGACTGCTGCGCCTGATGTCCAGTTTTTTGTTGGTAAAACTTGCGAGCGCGCATGTTTCACACTACATTATATAATTTGTATCACTAACTGATTCTGACTGAACGTTGAACGTCTGATTGACATGGCTTGGCCTCGTGAATACAAATTGTTGGCCCTGTACAACACCCAGTTAAAAATTCTGACGCAGCTTCTGAGTTTTATCGCATTGGAAAGAGTTCACTGGGCCATCGTAAAATTAAGAGCTCCAGCGATTCTTTTCGTGCAGTCGTTTAAAACAGCTTATTATGTTTAAGCAGTTCTGAAGCTCATTGCACAATTCAGGCATAATTCATCCAGCGTTAGCTACTGATTTTCATTCTAGTTATGAGAGGGAAAAACAGAAATATAAACCCATGCCCGCGTAGAAAAATGGCCATTTTGGTCGATTTTTTGGGAGCCTTTCACTAATAAGCGGCCCTTTGTCAACTCTGTGCCCCCCTTGCCGGCCCTTTGTCAACCCCCCTTGCCAGGGCTCTGGCTGCGCGTCCTGAGCAGACGGACGGAACATATGCATCAAGTTGTGATAGTAACAGCATCGTTGGCAATGAAGACCCACGGTGATGCTGGCAAGGCACGGTGACTATGACATCCTAAAAGTTTCGGTCCGATGCATTTGATCTGAGTCGTCGTGATTTCGTCCGCTCACAGCAGACACATTGCGGAATGTCGGGGGAGTCCGACACGGCTCGCGCCGCTCAGCAGGTGGCGTGCCAGTACCGCAGGAACTACGCGACCATGTCATGACATGGCGTGCATGGCTCGAGGAAGGTCCTGCCAGCAAGGCTTAAGCGCCTTGGTTGTATTACGCCATGTCCATCAACTTTCGTTGCCAGCGTGAATTTCACCGCAAGTCCCTAAAATACACAGGGACAAAGACAGTCTGTAGTACAGCTATGAGGGGCAGACGACGCCACTTAATTCGAGGAGACCTTAGCCTAAGTAAATGCTCAGACGGCATGCACAGAGTGCCCCAGCCTCCAGTGACAATCCGCTGGAAGTGACCCTGGTTCCGTCCTGTCCCGCCGTGGTCCCCACGGCCAGGCTCTGCCTTCCCTGTCCCCGGCCTTCTCTGATGTGTCCCATCAGGCCCTCTGGTCCGGGTCTGGCCGTCTGACTCAAATAGCAGTCCTACTCCAGATTCCTCCAATGACACTTTGCATTCCTGAACGCAAAAATTTCCCCAGACCATGCTCAGAGGTGTTCCACCAGTGCTCATTTTGTTATCGCGACCGTATCAGAACCCGACAAAGCTAACTTCGCTCTTTCCGGTGGAACATCCAAGCGGCGGTGATTCTGAGGTCGCCACGTTCAGAAACGCTGACAGAATTCTTTATTCGCATGTGGCCCATCGCCTCGTTGAAACTCAGCGCACCCGGCCCGCGCGCAGCTGGAGTCTCATCTTCACCCGCCCTCGACGAACTAAGGCTCTACTGAATGCCGGGCCGCTCGTCTGCGGGTGGAAGGGGGGGGGGGGGGGGAGGAGAGAGGTGTAAATTGAGCAGTGTGTGTCGACAACCCTAAATGCCGCTAGAAAAGCTCTGGAAATAACCACTAGGCATCGCAAGGTCGGTGACACATGTGCATCGTGTCTCAGTACGCAGTTGACAAGTTGGGAGCAGTGTGGCCCGAGTTCGGAGGCCAGCAGATGCATTTTCTACCGCCCATGGCGCCGAGTTTGCATTTCTGCTCCGGTTCAGTCGTCGGTTGCCGGGCTGGGCGGCCTACCGAGACGCGCTGCCATCGACCTCCGCCCAGGCCCCAAACGGTCTGTGGGGAGGAGGTGGCGCGCTGGCCGCAGGAGTCGGAGGCTGTCTGTGACCCAACACCGCGCTCCGTACCAGTGTCTCAGCGGGTCAAGTTTCGGTCAGATTACCGGTTTTGACCACTGGCCGTTGAGGCGCACGAGGGTCTCAGGTGAATTGGCGCCAGATGAGACGTGATTTGATTCACTTCGATTCCGTGATTTAAGTGACCACAGCTGAGATTTGGCTACCCCGATCAGTCGCATGCTTCCGAATATATTGGCACACATCATGAGACACCCGAAAATCAGTTCGTAATGGCCGACGAAGATGCTCCCCCTGGGAATCGCACAACTAATCAGCCGCTACATCGCCACTAAATCTTGCGACACAAACAAATCTGCCCAAGACCTCTCAACAATCACATTCGTACGCAGCCCGACGTCTTGCCGCCACTCGATCGAGCAAACTCCTGCGTCGCATCTCACAGCAGCCACCATGGCCAATCAAAATCGACCTGAGGCACCTTCATGGCTTTGCTTGCTTGCAAGCACATTTCCCCCAACTGAATACTGGTGACGATGACCAACCTCATAACTGGAAACACGGTTCCCGGGGTGGACATGGGGAATCGTTGTCTGATCAACCATTTAAGAATGTAAAACTGCAGCGCAAATGTCATACATCTGTTATACAGATCATATGCATAGACTCGAGATAATGCAGCGGTGCATATGGACTCAAGCGTTGATTGCGCTATTATGCATGCCGCGAATGCGTAAGATGGTTGTTTTCCGCGATCCACGATTCACGGGATGAGAACGTTCATTATAAAAGCCTTAGTTTAATGATAAAGAGGAGAAGACATGCCGCCAATCGTGGCTGTCAACTAGCCAGCGTCCTATCGACGCCACTGACTGCAGACTCAACAGTGGTCGGACAGCGCCCGCCGCATAAGAAAGCGCTCGCACAGACACGCTGACGACAGCTCTCTGACAAGACCACACCACTGTACAGATTCCGCTGGCCTGTCTACAACTACCGGTGGGCGCGGGGGGGGGGCGGCCGGAAGAGGACATGGGCTCTTCGACATGAGCCCTGAGCCCGCCTGGCCGGTGGGCGCAGGGGCGCGGCGGCCGGGAGGAGACGAGAGCTCTTCGACATAGCCCTGAGCCCGCCTGGCCACGGGGCCGCCCGCGGTCGGAGGGCGGCACCGGCACCGCTGCCCGACACTGAGTCGACAGCTGGCCCACGCGGCCCGTCACGTGCGCTTGGCGCAGAGCCAGACCCCGCGCCCAGCGTCGGCCGTGCCCAGGTGCGACCGGCACGACCGACGGAGGACGTGGCACGGCCGGAGGTGGGGAGGGGGAGGGAGGGGTGATAGCGGGGCCGGACCCGAGGAACGTCCCCGCTCGGCGTGGCCGACCGCATGGGAAAGCGGAAGCCGCAGCATCGGAACGGCTGTGGTCACGGGAGACATGGGTGACCGCGTCTTCCCGACACGGCATCAGCCCAGCGGCTACATGACCGAGCAGCAGCCGCAGCACTGGGACGGGTAGTCGGGGAAGTGCACCTTGTTCTCGTCGCCGTAGATGTGGAATGCACCCTCTTGGCCGTCCAGTACGTATTCCACCGTGCTGACAGGCACGATCTGCACCTTCTGGCGCTGTGGACATGACGTCAGAGTCAGTCCCCTACACACGCCTTCAGAGAACATTCTGCAAGTTTGAACACACACCGTCGCAGAGAACCCTCTCCACATAGCCCGCACACACGCCGTCAAAGAGAACCCTCAGCACACATCCTGAACATAGGTCGTCGCAAAAAAAACTCTAAAAACAGCCTAAGCACACGCCGCCCCAGAAAACCTCTAAAAATAGCCTAAACACACGTCATCAAGGAGAGCCCTCGGCGAACAGCCTGAACCGCGCCGAACATCGTGGATGGAGCAAGTGAACAAGAGATGACCACAAACAACGCCAAGGCCCAACATGGCCGGCTAGAGGGATGTTTGAGTTTTAACAAGCTGAAGCCGCTGATCATAATTTGAGTGCAGTAAGCACCCGACCGTGAAGCGTAAAAATCGTCAGAACACACCTGACATCATTTCTCACTGCCGTAAATTTAATCCCGTTCTGAGGTTTTGAGACTCAGACCATTATACCGCCCGCTTTCAGCCAGAAGGCGTCCTGAACGCAACATTGGCACGTGCGTCCCTGCGCTGTCCCTGCCCGTGAGTCGCTGCCACAGCCCACCTGCATAATGATACGTTCCAGCGGCCACTTGGTGGCGTGCTGGCGGACCAGGTCTTCGGCAGCGCGGCCGATCTGGGGGTCCAGAAAGCCGGCCACGGGCGTGACGCGCGGCCGCTCGTCCCGGAACGCCACCTGGCCGCTCGCCGACTTCACCAGCTTGTCCGGCAGCGTTGTGTTCTCCACCACGGACGTGTCGTCGTGCTTCTTCCTGCCGGGGGCGGGGCCGGTGGTGTGTCACAGGGCTCGAGACATGTCTACAGTAATGACTCACGGGCCCACTAGGGTACATTGTCTCATGGACTGGTGTCAAATGTCGGCGGGCATTTGACACCGGGAGTTCAGTTGTTTTTTGTTGTTGGTTATTTTGAACAGTGGGATAAGTTATTTGAACCAATGGAACACGTTTGAACAAGGTTGCTTGCGGCAGTGTATCAAAACACGCCAATTGATGCGGTTACGGTCAGCATGAAGACAACGGAGAGGCTCGCCTCATTTCGACAGACAGACATATAGGCATAATATGACAAACGGTCGGACGCCCTAATAAATTCTCATGCTGGAAGCATACGACCTGATCTGTCGTTTCGAATATGAAACAGAACCGGGCAAGGTTAACGTGATGGACCCGCGTCGTATTTACATACCAATAATCTATTCAACACAACCATTATCGTCATGGGATTAAAGTTGGTTTCATTTTACTCCTGGGCTGGTTACAATTATCTACGGAATTCTCGCACTCCCGTGGGCCTTTTTTGAGACAATACAATGGACAAAGACTTCGCCCCGAGTTTCAAGCGAATTACTCAAACTGATATCTGACGTACGTAACCCCTTGTTCTCCAAACACTGCAGTGCACGATATTACAAGGAAGCGTGTTTGTTCATGCCAAGCATAGCCACGTAAGCCTGGCATTTAAACTATCGCCGGTTCATTACCATATTTGGCACAAACGATCGTATCATACGCTTCCAGCAAGAACATTCTTCAAGGAGCTATCCTTTGCCACAATGTGCCCGTTTTTTCTTCAGCACATGTACATCCGTCTACATGTGAATGTCTGTAGGAATGTACGCCCGTCAGATCCCCTGCCTGTCGGCCTGAGTCCGCAGAAGTGGAGTTTATAACCTCACATTTTGGGGGATGACAGCGAAAAATTGCTAACCTTGCCTACAATGCACTGACGAAGACTTCTTTCCAGACTCCTCCCAAAAAGAGGGGGGGGGGGGGGAGGGCGAGGCTGAGGCATCCAGCATTAAATAAGAAGACACAACCCTGCGAATCTGGATGGCTGTCCTAACGTCATCGCCACAATACACATGCGTCAGTACTCATCAGAAAGCGTCCCCCCTCACTCTCACCAGACGACGGTCAGCTCCACGTAGCAGCGCAAGTACCGCTTGCCGTTGCACGTTTTGCACGTCTTCATGCCGGTCGAGTTGCACCACGTGCACTTCTTGCTGCCCGTGCCGTCGCACCACGTGCAGGATTCGTCTCCGACACGTGTGCCGGTGCCCGAGCAGCTGGAGCACGTCTCCTGCATGAGACAGACGCAGCGCTGTTGCCTGAGCCGCGAACAAGACATGGCAGAGACACAATTGGTAGGTTGGTAACCCACGTGAAACTCTGGAAATGCGTGCAGGGCCGCACGTTGTAACCTCCATTCAGTTTCACGACGCCATCTCACAAACTTCAAAAACGTCAATTCAATGTAACTTCATCTTCCAACGACCATTCCATCTTCAAGACCACTTCAACGACGACCGCTTCATCTTCCAACGGCCACAGGTCGTCTATTCGTCGCATGCTGGAATCCGGAAACGTTGGGGAGCGAGCACACGTCCATAAGTTATCCATATTCCCATAGTCGACACATGGCCTCGGAGTTAGGGCACACGCGTTTCGCTGCATCACGCAACCGGTAATGCATCAAGCGTGTGACCGGGCTCGTCACGGCTCTTCCGGAGATGCGTCGGCGCGCGCATAGCCCTGCACACAGCGCGCATGCTCACACTCCTCCCGGCTGCCTTCCCTCACAACGGGTACGCTAAAAAAGCCTAAAGTGCTCGCGCGCGGAGACCGTAACTCGACCCCCCTCCCCCCTCCCCCCCCCGCCCAAACGACACTCACGTATCCGCGTCCGTCACAGTCACCGCAGCGGGCGTCTCCGTGGCCCTGGCAGTCGTGGCACAGCTTCACCAGCTGTGTGTTGGGCACCTCCATCCTGGTGGTGTCACTCTGCGTGGCCAGAGAGGGAGGCAGTGACTTCACAGCTCTTGAGTATCGCTTGCCGGTCGGGAGAGCGGCAGAGAAGCAACGAAACCACCCGGCACACACCGTGAGCTCATTCTCCTGGCAGATTGACGCCCCTTCCCTCAGCGCCCCCCTCACCAAAGATGAAAGTCACGCAATGCTCTCCTGTCTTAGCTTAGTCTACGGATAATGACCAGGCTCTTCACGCGGTATTTAGAACGCGCCGCTCCCCCACCCCAAATGTGATGTCTGATCCGCCTGCTCTTTTTCAACGCAAGCAGCGGGTTCACTACGCGACTGCACCGCAGCAACACCCGAAGTGGTTCGGTTCATCATGACTGATGCCCCCGCCCCCTCAGTCCACAGGCAGGACAGCGGGTCGCAACTAGCCGCACGCGAGTCCAGAGCAGAGCCAAGGGTCAGTCGGCAATGCCCCTGAACTCGGCCGCCTTATCACGCTTATCGCCACGATTCGAGACGAGCTGCAGGCGAGAGAGCCGAGCCAGCGGCGTGTGCCGGCGGCGCTGAGCAGCGCCGCGGCCGGGCGCACCGCCACCGTAGGCCGGCACACACCTGGAACATCTTGGGCGGCGCGACCGGCACCTGCCAAGGCCCGGGCGGCTGGAGGCCGGACGGCGGCACCGGCCCGCCACTCGACGGCTCGTACTTCCACTTGGTCTCGCGGCGCTCGGTGAAGGTGTCCAGCGTGTACTGCAACGGCGGTGGCGTTACGCGTCAGCTGACTGCCGCCGCGCCAGGAGCTGGGGGCGGGGCGGGAGTGACGCCCGCTGGGGCTCCCCGCGGCGGGCTCCTAACGCCACCAGAGAGCGCTTCAGTAGCTGGCTACGGTGACGAACTGTGCCCCGCCTGACCCTGGATGGTACAGCGACGTACTGCACCATCGTCTGACCTCTGGGGGCTACAGTGACAAACTGTACCCTCGCCTGACCTCTGGATGGTACAGCGACGTCCTGCACCATCGTCTGACCTCTGGTGGCTATGGTGATGATCTGTACCCTCGCCTGACCTCTGGATGGTACAACGACGTACTGCACCTACGTCTGACCTCTGGGGGCTATGGTGATGAGCTGTACCCTCGCCTGACCTCTGGATGGTACAGCGATGTACTGCACCTACGTCTGACCTCTGGGGGCTATGGTGATGAACTGTACCCTCACCTGACCTCTGGATGGTACAGCGACGTACTGCACCTTCGTCTGACCTCTGGGGACTATGGTGATGAACTGTACCCTCGTCTGACTGACCTCTGGAGGCGAACAAACTGAATGGAAGCATGTCGCTAGGACTGGGTATGCACGTGTATGCATGCTTTATCTCCATAGGGCCATATACAATGTGGCGTGGGTATTACAGCCCGGGTCAAAAGGACAGGAGATAACAAAACGTGCAAGTAGAAAACATACAACACACAGCCAAACAGCGTTTCACCCGTTACCAATAGCAAGAGCGCTCAACAGCCGCACTCCCACCGCGCGTGCGAAAAGCGGCCGTGTTTGTTGTGTAATGGGTCGTACGACCAGCGCACTCCGGGAGATTTATCCACTTGGCCGCTATCTATCGAGTGCCATTACCACTTCCGATCCCGGGCTGCGTCTGACGCAACCCGCCCGAGTCCTAGCGGACGGCATCTGTCACATTGAAACTCTAGAACATTGAAACTTCCTATCATCAGTCGTCCCACTCGCCTCTTCAGTCCACCGCTTACAACGTGTTGAAATGTACCAAAACGGTGACATTTCCAATAGTCTTTTCCACACCCCGTCGAAAAACACTTTTTCACATTCTATCGATTCCCACACCCTGTCAAAACTCGTGGGGCGACAAAACTTGTCAGGTTTTCACCAAAAGCCTGTACACCCATGCAGCTCAAGGACGGGTGACATCACCTCACCGCCTGGTGGCAGTGGCCTCACACCGGTGACAAAGCCGACCTCACGGGGCCCGTGTGTGGTAGGATTGTAACGTGGGTGACCATTCGAACACGCAAGTAATGGCCAAATACCCTGAAGGCACCGAGCGATTCAGTGGGAGCAGGCAGACAGGTGCCTGAAGCCCAAAACATCGCAGGATCCCATACACACAGAAGCCTATGGAATGCTGGAGCCACCCCTGGGGGACCCGGCCCGACCACGCACGTGCGTTCAGTGACACGGGACGCGCGCACATCCTTGGGGCAGCCCGGCAAAACCTCGCACGTGCGTCCAGTGACACGGAGCAAGCCCACATTGGAACTTCACTGCGCGGTGGATAGTTGATATTCGTGAGTTTAGTCGAGCAGTCCAACTCCATCCCGTTGCCAGATTGACATGGAGCAACCCCATGTACCTTGAAGGCGGACGTCGGCAAGATGTTGACGATCTTCATTTTGGCCAGCGGACCCTTGCCGTAGCAGCAGTTCTCCGACACAAACTGGTTAAGACAGGACTTGACCTCGCTGTCGGTGAGCACGTTCTGGGTGTAGTCCACCTGGTCGCCCTGGCCGGCGTCGGGCGGCGGCGGCTCGTACGGCGGCGGCGGCGGCTGGAACCCTGCGCCCAGCCACACACAAACATACTGAACGTCGGCTGGAACCCTGTGCTTTGCCACACATACTGAACGTCGGCTGCAGCCCTGTGCTTTGCCACAAACACATACTGAACGTCGGCTGGATCCTTGCGCTTTGTCACACATACTGAACGTCGGCTGGAACCCTGCGCCGCCCCACACACTGACATCGAGCGTCCCTCAGCGGCGGTGAGCCCAAAGCACACCGCCAGCGATCCGACGACTGCTGCAGGCAGTAGCCTTGCAGCTGGCTTAGCTGGGAATGACGGGCGAATGCCACCAAAACTGCTGACCACGCAGTTGACACATAAGCACGTGATGACAACAGCGGGCGAATAACAGAGCTTCATAATGGGCTACAGTGTACTGGTGAATGATGAGCCGCCTCAGTACGGGCCATGCCTCAGAGCACGATAACAAGCCAAGCCGTTCAGGACGTCCACGACGGTTCAGGACGTCCACGACGGTTCAGGACGTCCACGACGGTTCAGGACGTCCACGACGGTTCAGGACGTCCACGACGGTTCAGGACGCCTACGACGGTTCAGGACGCCTACGACGGTTCAGGACGCCTACGACATTCCAGGAGGCCTCAGACGGTTCAGGACGCCTACGACATTCCAGGAGGCCTCAGACGGTTCAGGACGCCCACGACACCGACATGAACAAGCGGCGGCACAGGGCCGTGAGACGCCAACAAACACAATTCGGCTTATCAGCTAAAGGCAGATGGTCAACACGGCCGAGTGTGGGCTCAACGTCTCCGTTAGTTTAAGCCGTGTATTGGTGCCTGATAGCGGTGACAAAGCGGACGCTAATTCACTCGAGTAAGGCATTTGGTAAGTGCACATGGGCGTCAGCAGGCCGCGTGGGCTGTATGAGCTCGGCACGGACCCGTCCCGCAGATCGCACCAACCGCCCGGCGGCGCAGTCCCTTCAGTCACGCCCTATCGTTGCTGAGCTTAAGCACCTACGTGGCTGCGTGTCATGCGGTGTCTAGATAAAGACCGGCGTGCCAGGAGCTTTTGTGCGAAGGTTTTGACAATATCCAGGCCTCCCGGAACAGGACAATGTTTTGATCGGGACTGCCAGGCCAGGGTTATTGCTGAGCAGGGAATCCTAAAAGGCGAATGCGTGCAGTGGTCGCTCCCAGATGTAGTAAGTACATTGTATTGCATTAGAGTCGGGCTAGGCTATGGCACACTACGGCTCAGCTACGGCCATGAATAGTTCACGAAAATATCGTTTATGAGTCCACAAGGGAAGCAGGTACTTCAGGATAAGGCACGTGACGCCCACGCAGAGAGCAAACTAACAAGAATAATTTCAGGCCAAAGGTGGGCAGCCAGAGGTATACAATCCGGCGTTCTTTATCGCCTTTTGGCTCGGCGTTGAAGAGCCATTTGTGGAGTATGTCATGGCGGAAATGGGCCAAAGCTGAGTTGGCGGTTTGCTTTAGAAGTGTGCACGTGTTGCAGCTTCGCTTGTCGTGCGCGGGTGGCTTTGCCTTGTTAGGCCCTTTCATTTGAATTCTCCAAATATCTAAATGAATTTAAGCATTCTGGTTTTCTTGGGGGACCAACCAGCGATTGGCTGGTTTGGCGGAGCTCCCCGAGCTGTTCAACCGAACGGACAACACTGGCCAGGAACGCAAAACAAACACAGCAACGGGTCATAAACGCTCTAAATCGAATGTAGCTGAATACTAAACAACCCAGCGACGACAAGAGCTGGCGTCTACGTTCCCAGGTTTTCTCTCGCTCCTCACCGGGTTTCCACCAAGCCAATGACTCAGACCAGTTCCGGCGGCCTGCGCCTAACGCCGCGGCCGCCCGCGGGCCCCACGCGGTCCGCCGCGCGGCGCGCGTGTCAGCTCACCTCCGTCGAAGTTGGTGCCCTCGTAGCCGGGCAGGTCACCCATGGAGTCCATGGGCGGCGCCGTGGGCACCTGTTCGCCGGAGAACTTCGGCGGCGAGTCGGAGGGAGGACCGCCGGCCACGGCACTGCTCGCCTGCCAGCCGATCTGCTGGCCGGGCGGCACCTCGCCCATCGGATACTGTCCGCCCGACATGGCTGGTCGCGGCCTCACCGGGCGCTGCGCGAGCTCGCTGAGCTGGGCTGGGATGCGGCGCTAGTCAAAGGGCTGCCTCGGTCTCGCCGATGCTGATAACAGGGCTGTCCAGGCCTCGCTGGCGCTGGTCACAGGGCTGTCCCGACCTCGCTGGCGCTGGTCACAGGGCTGTTAAGGTCAGCAATGCGGCGCTGGTCACGGGGCTGCCCAGGCTGGGATGCGGCGCTGGTCACAGGGCTGTCCAGGTCTCGCTGACGCTGGTCACAGGGCTGCCCAGGCTGGGATGCGGTGCTGGTCACAAGGCTGTCCCGGTCTCGCTGGCAACACCTGGAGGACGTCCGCGGTTCAGGCAGATGGCGATGACATTCGAATGGTAAAAATACGCTAAACAAGCTCGCGTTCAGCTGTCTCGCGCTTCACAACCACGCTTTACAACGCGTCGATGCGTCAACAGTCCTTATTTGTCAGTGATTCTACTTCTTCGGCCAACATTTACATGCGACATTTAGGCAATGAGATAAAGGCCCTAATCCAAAAATTACAGCCGTCAGTTCTGAACCCATTGGGTACCACGCGTTGGAGTGGGGATCAATTTCGCTCCCCGAAGGCTTTCCGGAATGGTTTCCGTGCGGCAGGGCGTAGCCGCGCAAAATTTTGCATAGCTACAGCCATTTGAGTAGCAGGATCGTTCGGCATCAACAATTTAGATGTACCCTATAAGGTTGCTGACCTAAAGCAGGTCAAAGTCAGACCATGGATTTTGCGAAGTTTTTGAAGATTTTGATTTTGAAGATTTTGCGAAGAAGAATTTCTAAGAGAATCGTTCAATCTGATGCAACAACGGAGTGTTAGGCGAAACCATACATCTCTGAGATACTTTCCTAGGTAACGCAACAATTGAATGAACAAATTCCATTGAACTAGGGTCAGGTATGAAGGTCAGACCAAGGTTAAAACCAACCTGCTGTATTACTTTATGGCTTGTTACATGAGGTAGCTTCTGATGTTAATTTCGAATCTACTGATAACAGGAACCAGATTATGCATTTCCCATGAACTTCTCAATGGTCGAAAGAGGCCACTGACCTAGAATGGCCCAGGCCAGCATTTTGTTTTGAGGAACATACTGCCTAACGTAAGATTTGTGGCTTGTTCAAATGCAAAACTTAAGACAGTCCTGTATGATTTTGGTCACCATGACCTTCGAAAGGTCAAAAAGGTCACCAACCTTAAATGAGCATGTGCATTTATGCCTAGAATCAACAATATTTCTGGTTCTGGGGGCACCATGGGACAATGGGACAAACCTGAAGCTTGACCTCGTTTGACCTTGTTTGACCCGAAAGTCATGACCTACGAACCTTACAATTTATCCTAGATGAGTCCATGTACATACCGACACACCCTGTGAATTTGGTGTATCTATCTCTCTTGGTTTCTGTGATCTCAGAGAGGTCAAATTGACCTCTAACCCAGCGAAGGGTATCCAACCGGCCACCCGGGCGTCCCGCTCCGTGGTGTTGATGCATTAATGCTGCCGTTAATGTTGCGATGGACAGTCCACGACGGTAATAAATCTACGCGACATTTTTGTCTATCGAGAAATGTATGGCACTTTTGTAGCATTGAAAAACAGGTGCGGCGCCAAGCAGGAAAAAGGCCAAACCTGCTCCAAACTACATGAAACACAGCGTTTGCCCCGAATGTGACACGCCTTCCTACCGCAAGTGAAGAGCAGATGGGGTCACCGACTGAATATGAAACTACATCCTTGGCTTGGTGTGCACTAAAACGCGAAATTACTCCTACTTGGAAATGTATGCCCGTCATTAATATTTCGCCTCCCGAGCCTGCTGCAGCCTTCGCTCATTCGCCAAGCACTGCAATTCGACAAAATTACGTAACATGATATGCGCATAATATTTCGTATCAGCACCACAACCATGTAATATTAGTATCGCCCACTTGGGACAGGGACTAAAAAGCAACATATTAAGCAGAGACGCTCGTCTTCCCAAATGGCTGGTCCGATCGCCTTAAAACCTTCACCACCTGATTCAGTGCAAAGAGGTGAACAATCGGGTGGCAATGTCGAGACCTGACCTCAGGTCAAACACTTCACAACGAAAAGGGAAAATTTCACACGCAAATGAAGACCATTCATCTCAGAATCTCCTCTGTCGAACGCTGTGAAACCTTGGCCACTGGATGCATCATACCTGATTCCCTCTTGCAGTAAAAAATCTGATGACCCTAGGTCAGGTAAAAAGTCCCAAAAATTTCGAAAATGCAAAAATTACTGCCTAAAGACAGCTCATATCATAGAACATACTCCCCGATCGTCGCTAAACCCTCATAATTTGATAGAACATGCCTAGCTGTTGCGGTATATGCTATGAAGCAATACGCCTCTTCTAGTGCCCCAGCGCGCGGGCATTTTTTTTAGTTTTGCGGTCGTGCACTTTACGGCATTGACATTAACACATATTTTGAGTGTAAATGCAACAGGATCGCCTTCTTTTTTGTGAGCAAACCCACACAAAGTGCACTGCACAAGACATATTCAATTTTCGGCACATTTAAGACATTCGTAATCACGCATTGACAAGACTGCGCACGACAAGCGCGGTGAAACTCAAGGTTCTCGTTGAAGCTATGTACAGAGCTCAAAAAGCAACTTCCAAAGAAGGACTCTGAGGTCATGAATGTGTCACAGCAGCACAAGACTTAACCGGTCCGCTTCGGTCAGGCCCACGGAGCCTGCTCTAGCAGCCCAGCCAGACAAATTTACGACATCCGTCACGGAACGGTATTCGCACGCCTTGAACATCGACCTTGGTTCTATGGCCTTGCATCAACCAGCCGGGCAACAACCCGCCCGCGGGTCTTTAATCACGGCAAACCTAGGCAGGGACTAAAAAACAGACACATGAAGCAGGCATGCCAATTCTCTGAAACGGCTCGTCTGATTGTCTTGAAGCTTTCACTAATCGATCCAGTGCAATGGCGTGGGTAATATGTGGTGACAACGCGAAGACCTGACCTGGGGTCAAACACCTAAAAAATGCGAGGGGAAAATTTAGCACGCAAATGCAGACAACTCAGGTCTTAGAGCTTGCTACAAACTGATGGCTGCAAAACCTTCACCATTGGATCCGCCAAATCCGATTCCCTTTAGTTAGTCGAAAATGTGGTGGCCCTACGTCAGATGAAAGGTCATACAATTTCACAACTTCGGAAACTCTTAAAATTCTTACCTACAGACAGCTTATTCACAATTTATTGTTCCGAAATGAGGGCTTCAGGGCGATCAGACGAGCGGTTTCTGAGACCGAGCGCGTCTGCTTTGTATGTCGGTTTCTTAGTCCCTGCCGCCGGCTCCCTCCTAATTCGTGTAAATGGTTCCTACACTCCTGTCAGGCGTCCACGCATTTTGCACTCCAGCGCAAGGATAAACTGTGGGAGTGGTGTTGCGTATGCATTAAGACTATACAGGTGTTTGCAGTCGTGGTTAAGTCATGACAGTCATGCAATGTTGAAGAATACGTTTTGCCGTGTAGCACTGTCGCATGCAAATATTTGCAGTAGAAGTAATGCCGTGCATACGCACCGGCTGTTAAAGTTTTTGCAGCACAGGTAATATCGGGTTTCGGAAGCATAAGTTGTGTCGTGAAGCACTAGTGTCGCGTCTAAGTCCTTGCAGTAGAAGTAAAGTCGCATATAAATAATGACTGTATGTTTTGCAGTGGAAGTAGTGACGAGTACAACTGTTTTTAACGCGGAAAGATGGTCGTCGCATTCATAGCACTTCAGTCGCATTCAAATTTTTGCGTTAAAAGTAATGTTGCGAAGAAAAATATCACACATGAAGTAATGTCGTGTACAAGTAATGACTATAGAACGGTTTGCAGTGCAAGTAAAAACAGCACATCTTTTGCAGCATAACTTTTGCCGCGTGGCACTGATATCGTAAGTATTGACAAAAGAGGTAAGGTTGTGACATTCCTTCGGAAAGAGCTTTAGTTGTAGTACTTATGCCGTGGAACCCTTGCCATGATTAGCGACTGGTATTGCCCGGCGAAGAGTCATTTAAACAACTGTCACTGAGCAAGCCACCGAAACTGTCCCCGGCAATCAGCATGCGTTTACCTAGATAAAGTTGAGAACAAAACGATGTGAACTATAGAGGCAAGGTATTTCCCATGAGCGCACATCACGTGGGCCAGAGGGTCAATGCCCCGCTAACCGGAAGTGCGCCGGGCGGCACTGTGCCACAGACCTACAGACGTCGGCCAACTGTCGGCATTCCGCCCGCGTCCAGTGCACCAGTCAGCACGCGTCACGCCACCGGCACCACTGAAGATGCTAACGGTGTCAGCCTAGGACCAGGGCACACCGCAGGACGTGGCACTGACCTGCGATGCTCCACAGCCGGGTCACCACACCCAACGCTCGCTCTCACCACGCACGCGCGGGCCGCGCCACCCCTCCCTCTCGCCGGCTCCCAGACTGCAGCGCGCTGGCGGCAGTGGGCACGGAAGTGGCGGCTGCACGTTAGAGGGGCGGAAATCAAAACCGATAACGGCCCGGCGCGGTAAGCAGGGCTGTCAAAAGTAAAACTGGCCTGACCCAGGCATCAAGGTAACACGCGGAATGCCATAGCCACAGGCTCGTATGTAAACTGAAAACTTCCCGGAACACGAGTCGCAACAGGCTGTAATAGTCTCGGAATTGTTTGTGTGGAGTGTTTTAGCTCTCTTCCGCTCCAAGGCCAAGTGGATGTGGCGGCCCGCCTCCGACCCTGCTGTCGCGCGGCCGTGAGCTCCTCATAGCCTGAAGGTTAAACAACTCATAATACGATTTGCCTCCCACGGGGGAAGAATTCCGGTTGAAGCAGACGAAACACCCGTCTTCTGCACTTATCAGCCCGTTCTGAACGCGCCACTCGACCACCCACCTCTCTGGCCCTGGTGCGAAAGCGCCACTTCCTAACGCTAGAGAGTGGTGCGTTCGCGCTCGGCGCCCGCCTTCTGGCTCTTCCGAGACCACGTCTGAGGTTCCCTGCACCTCCAACCCGAACGCCCTATATCAAGTGAACTTGTGCGGCACGAATATGTCATGGCCTGAGCCACCCCACTATGAGACTGATGGACGTCGCCGAACTCAGAAGGTCTATGCATTTGGCTCAATCGACGCCTAAAGGTAGTCTAGGGACATTTGCTGAGGCGTGCTGATGTCATAGCCTGAGCGCCTAGCATCTATACTTCATGATGCCCACCCCCAGGGGCCTCTTTCACCCAGAACAGAGGTGCTGATTCGTAAGATCAATTGGGCGGGTGATATATATATATATATATATATATATATATATATATATATATATATATATATATATATATCATTGGACGTGAACGAATCAGCCTTAAAAGTTTGTCCAGGAACGGTTTGCCACCTAATCCCATAGCACTCCATTGCATGTTCGTGGGACTGGGCGAATGGTTCAACATCACGCTATATATGTGTATATGCATATACATATATTTATCACGCCTATCCATCGATCAGCACGCTACGTCAAAGGTGCAGCGTGCAGTGTGACGGGCCTACACCAGCGATGCTCGGCCGTTACCTTCCAGCCGCTGTTCCTCTCGGCAGCAGGAAGCCTCGAATGAATCCTTGTCATGTATCGCTCCAACGTTCTCCGTTTAGCTCTGAAGCTACAGCTCAGGCATCTACATACTACAATCCTCCTAGATCGGCAGGGCTTTTTAACGCTATTACCTTAAAAACTGACGATTGGCTACGTCCCTCAAACCAGACAGCCTCTCACGATACGGACACAGCCAACGGCAGCCCTACAACGTTGAGCTGAGCCCAGTTTATTAACACGTGGCGAGCATTTGAGCCCACCTGTCTCGGATGGCACGGCACTTTAGAGCTACGCTTAGCAAACTGATCACAATCATCGCAAGATGCTGTGACCAGCCATTATTCTTTCGACTAGAAATAAGCCCAACTTTTTGGTATTTTACACTGTTTAGTACGTAATGTGAATCTTGGCCGAAAAATCGGTGAAAAGCACTGATCTGAGGGGCGTTGGAGAAACACTGTGTCACCGCTGATCTGTGACATCACTGATATAGCATTACTTGCAATATATTTATGTCACCTGTTAAAAGCCATCCTGATTAAAACTGCTTTGTTTGGAAACATCCTGTGGCTTAACTTCCTCATGCAGCGAAACATCAACGTTTCGACACGTGTTCTATACAAGCTCACGCTGCAAGCGTTAGCGAGTACAGACAAACACAAAGCTTTAGGTTGGTTTACTGAGGTGGTCTGTTGTAACATGGTCTGATCTGTTGCAATTCCTTTCCATTATTGCAGTTTTGTCAACAATGGGCTCACAAAAGTGGCCGTTTTTGTCACGCTTCATATCGGGTAAATCGAAAGCTTTTTCACCCCTGTTCATGCTTTCCATTTGTTTGGCTTTTCCCAACACGGGTCTCACGTAATGTCTTCAATACACCGATTGACAAAACTGTTTGTGCAATGAATGGTGCGGGAGCTTAAAGCCCTACATTTAGGGAAAAGTATATCCATACATTCGGTCATTATCACGCGAATTGAACAGAACGCCACGCCGTGGCCTTTATTTCTACCCCATGGTGTTCGGCAGTGACTTTTTTTCGCCAGCTGATTTGGCTCCGGGAAGCGTTAACTCCGTGGATCTTCAGTTCGTTTTAATATTGTGTTTACACAGCAGGCGAACCCCAGCGAAATATCACAGCGAATTAGTGACGGACATGTCTTCATTTCCACTTATGCGCGCACCGATAAATGCGTACGATGCTTGCGATCTTAATCATAAACGCTCACTTCTACCGCGTCATTCATACCCAATCCGTGCGCGAATGCAAAATATACCTTCCTTCGGAATCATGGCAGTTGAAAATACGACATGATGTAAATGAACATATTGGGATCTACTTCGCCCACAATGGCCCATCATTAGCAGATCAGCTTTACTTGGCATTACATGCTAGCAGCAATATTGTGCGACACTTGAGGCGGAAGGGACAAGCAGTATAGGGCAAGGATAAAATTTAAAGGGAGTGTTCCACATGAATATGGAGTTTTGAACTGAAAGTCCATCTTGAAAAACTTTCAGTGGCGTGCATTGTCCTGCCCCTCCTAAGACCTAAGCCCCTCTAGTTTCCGAGATACACGTCCGCGAAAATGTGAGAAATGTATATTGCGGAGAGTATTTCAAAGTGACCTTGGCATTCATGGCGTCATAATAACGCCATTCAAATCCTGCCCTTCCATAAGCTGTGCGGCGATCAAGGTCAAGAACAGTGTAAGTGCTGAGGCGTTTATATCTAGCGTTCGTGAGCGCGATTTCCAGATAAAATGGCCGTCAGTCAACCCTCCATCAGTGCCATGCAAGGTTCAATGACGTATTCAAACCATGACGCATTGAGGAGCATGTTTACTGAACAGAGAATTGTACTGTCTAAAGCAGTCTTATCCACTTAAGATGTATACCAGTAGGTATAAGTGAACTTGTTTCATCATGCCTGATGCCTGCTTCAGCACCTTCAAATGGGAAACATTATTAATGGTGGTAAAAATGGGCCTTCAACCGGCAATTTTGCAAGTGGAATGCGAAAGCCACGCGTCCTCCAGATGATATGAAGGGGCACCGATGCGAAAATCCAACAGCTATACTGCAGCAAATGTTTTCTCTAGGACCCCCCCCCCCCCTCATCCCACTAGGGGTAGCGCCTTTGGCAACCATAGGAGATCGGTGGAATATGAGCAAATGAGCAAGTGCAGTCTGAGAAATTGATGAAAAAGAAAATGGGTGTGATGCAAAAAGTGTCTATCCATGACGATTCTCAAACAAATTCACTAAGCAGATATGAAATTTTACAGAACATCACCGCGCAGAAAGTTGAACTATGGAAAAAGTTGAGCTGAAATAATTTGAATAAAACAGCTTGAACCACAGGAAACATAAATGCCATTTTTTGTTAGCAGACCTTTGTCAACTATGCCAGGTACACCTACTGCCTTTTGCGGTCGGGGGCCGCCCTCTGGGGCCTCTCGGCCCTCTCGTGGCTGGCGCACTGCTGCCTGCCCCGGATAAGCGAAGTGTCGCGAGGATACATGACATCCTTGGCCTCGGGAAAAGGTTTCAGAGGGTCTTATCCTAATTGCAGGCGCTTTCTGATGTTCATACTGCTTAATGTTAAACCAATCTGACTTTTTAGTAAAAAAAACAAACGAACACAACAAGGAACTTTAAAGGCGACTCACCAACAAACTGACTTTTTAGTAAAAAAATAAACAAACAGACGAACACAACAAGGAACTTTAAAGGCGACTCACCAACAATTTTTGTGCAGACCAACCATCACATGTTGAGCACGACTAGTAAACGACTTGGTAATTCCCTTTGCAATACCCAGTCTTCACGTCTCTAGCTAAATCACATTTAATATCGTCCATTAATTGACTTCAAATGAAGCCTTTCAAGGTTTTCTCTTGCAGTGTTTAACATAAACACAGGGTAAACATAGCTATTAAATGTCTTGCTGTACCAGTAGGACAAAGGACACACAAAACAAAACATTATTTTCTTTTACTGATTGGACGCTAATCTTTCGCAATGATATCAGGCGATGACCCAAATGCTGTGTTTAATTAGATTCTTCAAAGTGGTTTGTAAATGTTGCTCTACTGGTATTGTTGTGAAGTAACTGATTTAGACTGGCTTCTTCACTGAGAAAACAACAATATTTACTTTAAAAAATGAAGCACCCATTAATGTTGGACGGCTGCCCCTGTGCTGGACATGCGACCTCTCCTGTGCCGGAAACACGGCTGCCTTAGTGCTGGATGGCTGCTCCTGTGCTGGACATGCGACCTCTCCTGTGCCGGAAACACGGTTGCCTTAGTGCTGGATGGCTGCTCCTGCGCTGGACATGCGACCTCTCCTGTGCCGGAAACACGGCCGCCTCAGTGCTGGACGGCTGCTCCTGCGCTGGACATGCGACCTCTCCTGTGCCGGAAACACGGCCGTCTCAGTGCTGGACGGCTGCTCCTGCGCTGGACATGCGACCTCTCCTGTGCCGGAAACACGGCCGCCTCAGTGCTGGACGGCTGCTTCTGCGCTGGACATGCGACCTCTCCTGTACCGGAAACACGGCCGCCTTAGTGCTGGACGGCTGCTCCTGCGCTGGACATGCGACCTCTCCTGTGCCGGAAACACGGCCGCCTCAGTGCTGGACGGCTGCTTCTGCGCTGGACATGCGACCTCTCCTGTGCCGGAAACACGGCCGCCTTAGTGCTGGACGGCTGCTCCTGCGCTGGACATGCGACCTCTCCTGTGCCGGAAACACGGCCGCCTCAGTGCTGGACGGCTGCTCCTGCGCTGGACATGCGACCTCATCTGTGCCGGAAACACGGCCGCCTTAGTGCTGGACGGCTGCTCCTGCGCTGGACATGCGACCTCTCCTGTGCCGGAAACACGGCCGCCTCAGTGCTGGACGGCTGCTCCTGCGCTGGACATGCAGTATCTCATGCGCCGGCACGCGGCCATTCCAGTGCCGGACGCGCGGTCTTCCCTGTGTTCAACGGCCGGTTCTGTCTAGGACACCCGACCGCCCCTGTGCCGGATATTGGACAGTCCCAGTCATCGAGAAAGCGACGCTCCAGTAAGCGCCTCACCGCCGCTGCGATGAGGTACTGGCACCGCACGCTGTGTTACGATGCAGAACGTTATAATGACGAAGCGCGGGCTAATGCAACAAGTATTTCACGCCTTGGTCTATTTTTAAGGGTTCATGACATATGGCCATTAGATTCTAGGTCCATAGCTGAAACATATGATGTGCTGTACGTGCATATGCTCATAACATGTTAGCGGAGAAACACGTTGGTCTGTTATAACATGTACGCTTCCCAACTGCTACTTTAAAAAGTGGCGATTTTGGCCTACTTTAAAAAGTGGCGATTTTGGTGCTGAAATCAGAATCGTTGCTAAACACGAAACAAGGTCACCGCATAGCGAAATAGCCGCAGCGCCCAAAATCCAAGAACCATCTCTCTAAGCGCGGATCGTTACGTGGACATTGGCCCCCCATCCGTGTAACTCAGACCATGAAATAAGTTACCAAGTGTTGATGTCTGGTAGGAGTTTCTGGATTGGGAATACAAATTTCGCAGGCGTGGATTGTAAATGCTAGAAATATGAATTGTGGGCATTATGGAAAGCTGTGAAGTGTTGTTTCAGACACCGCAGTTATATACACAGTGGCATGCTGTCTTTTAGTGTTATAGCCGTCATGCGAATCAGCATATCTTTTCTCAACTTTAGGTTACGCAGTTTGTGACGTCAAAAAGCGTGTACAACTGATAGTAACGAGGTGGAGAGCGATTTTTCAGTGTTAGCGCACAATTCCTTCACAGATTCTTGCAGAAATTTTGTGCATGACACTATTTTAAATTTGAAATATATTCGCTACTGTAACATCTACGTCATGGTTCCTCCAGCTACCGGCCGCCACATTTTTACCATAAACTCGAAGTTTAGCCTTTCTTGCGCATGTGGTGCAATTTTAGCATCCATTGCAGTCTTTTTATTAAACGCTGTCCTACCCGGTTTCTATTACAGTATTACCGACCAAATCGGTCGCATCTGATCTTTCTACGAGGGAAAAGTACCAGAAGTTGACGTGCAAAATCACTCTAACGCGTTGAGATGGTTGAAAGCCAACTGCCGTCCGTTGATGCTGCGATTTGTGCGGACGTATTCCAGAAATGAATAATTCGACAGTCATATTTGAATTAACCATGAGTATAGTATGGCAATAAGCGTGGAATTTGTGTGACGTCTTTATGACGTCATACATCCCTGGGTAACCTCAAATTGGGCGGCTCGTAACACTATTCACAACTTTGCGCGCGCCTAGCTTATAAATGAGAGGATGGAGGTCTTGAACAGGGACATCTGTGGGAATGATCCTAAAGATGACTCTCAGTTCGGTACCCTCATAAAACTGCGGAACAGCCCTTTGCTTAATTCCCTGCAGTTTACCTCATAAGTTCACCCCGCACCTATAAGCCGCAGTTCACCTGCACCTGCAGTTTACCCTGCAGCTTTAAGCCGAATATGTTTCTCACCTTCTTAAGTCCCGTCTCACCTCCCTTTTGCTTGTCAGTTTCTAATCTGTTGAGCATGTTGTCAGCCAGCGTACTGCGTGTGTTTCCCAGCGCGCGCTACGGCAATCGATGGCGTTACCGCCAGTGGCCAGGGCAGTCAGGCCGGTCAGAAGCTGTGAGTACGTCCTGGGGCTCGGACGCCCGCCCAACATCGGCTCAGCCGTGACCGCATCCCGGCCCGGTCAGTCACGTGGCCGGGCCCCAGCTGAGTCAGACACGGGTGACCGGACCCCGGCCCGGTCAGACACGTGGCCGGACCCCAGCTGAGTCAGACACGTGTTACCGGACCGCGGCCCGGTCAGACACGTGGCCGGACCCCAGCTGAATCAGACACGTGTTACCGGGACCGCGGCCCGGTCAGACACGTGGTCAGGCCCCAGCTGAGTCAGACACGTGACCGGACACGGCCGGCCTCCGGAGACATGCAGCAGCTGGGGCAGTGGCCCAGCACCAACGGCCACACCGACACGCTGGTCGTGACCACATTCCACGTGAGTCGTGGCGTGTCGCACTGCCGCCGAAAAGAACGTGTTTTTGAGTGAAAGAGTGTGTGCTTCACTGATCACTGCTGGGGGCGGTACTCGATTGCAGCCTGGTTTTGGCACAAGCCTGGGACGTGCTGTTTAGTATCACTCATCATTCGGTATGGTCTATGTATTCCAGTATATTGATAAGCACGTTAGGAAATTCATTAAAGGGTGACTAGGAGGAGTATGGAAGGAATATATAAAAAGGAATATGTCACTGGCCGTGATAGACTCGCGCGAATCATCAATTACCTTGCGTATTAGATGCCTAATGGTTCAGTTGGGAAGACGCCTAATGAAGGTCGTCAGCGTAGGAAATCTAGAACGTTTGCACCAAATGTCCAAATGATACAACCATGGAGAGCTGGCACGACACGAAATTGAAGCGCGTCGATGCTCATGCGTTGAAATTTGCGGAGTGTACTCCTCGCTCTCTTCCGCCTTGAAGGTGTCCTTGAGGGATTCGATCTTGAAGGAGTGTTCCACATTTGCATGACATTTTGAACTGAAATAGCCATCTTGAAGACCATTCGGTGCAGTTCACAGCCCTGCCCTCCTAAGGACCTAATCCCTGTAGTTCCTGAAATACACGTCCACGAGGATGTGCATACTATTTCGGGGATACTTTTTTAAGATCACTCAAGCAGCCATAACGCCATAAGAGCGGGATTGAAATCCTTCCGTTCCAACATTCACGCGACGATCAAGGCAAATAAAAGCATTATCGCTGAGTCATTCATATTGGGCGTTCGTGTGCACCATGTTTTTTAGACACAAGTCTGTCAATTGCCTTGTTATCAATTCCGTGCAAAATACGATGGGGTACTAAAACAATGGCGTATCGAGCAGCATATTCACTGAGTAGAGCAATTGTATTGCCTAGAACGGCTTTTTCCACTTAAAAGTTTACGAATAGTTATAAGTAAGCTTAATTCATAGATAACACGGTAGTATTAGTTTTATCCCTCTGAAAAAAACCAGGAGAATAGAAATACAGTTAGGTTGATATTTCGGCAACATGCCTTTCTCGAAACAATAGCAGAAGTCACTTCTGATATTGTTTCGAGAAAGGCATGTTACCGAAATATCAACCCTACTATATCTCTATTCGCCTGCTTTTTTCCGAAGAAAGATGCTTATGCTACTGTCTTATCTATGTGACTAATGTTCCTCGCTAATGCACTGAACAACTTACGTAAGCTTAATTTATCATATCTCATGCTTCAATATCCTCCAACGCAGAATATTCCCTCTAATGCAAGCGATAAAGGATCAACTTATGTCAAGGAATTCGCGTGGAAAAGGTGACCTTCCAGTCGATGAATGCGATTTAGCGCCGTAAGCAGAAATAAAGCATGAGACGTCCAATTAGGTAAGGATATCAATGCAGACGATATGAAGTGAGTTTATGGCTAGAAATACGAGCGGAAAATGTACACAACCAGTTGCTGATGGGGACGATTTAAAACGATGAACGATAATTAAGTACAAAACGAACGACGGCATCGGTGCGCAAACAGACATAACAACCGTCAGCAGTGAAACGGGAGGCAGGCTGACCGAACTGAGCTGATCGCTGCATCCACAACGTGGCGGATTGTAGACCACCTTAACCTATACACAAGTATGTGTGTCAGTGAGCTAAACGGGCTATCACACCCACCATACGAGCTATTTTATCCCCACGTACAAATTCGCTGCAGAGACCTATCCAGCTGTGCTAGAACGTATCCAGATAAGCACATAATGTGCACCATTTGAGGCGTTGTCTGCAGGAAATAATATGCCGATTAAAACGTATAGCATCAACTATTCTACTTCACACACACTTTAACTAGCCCAATGCTGAATACGACCTTTAGCAAACAGACAACATGAAAAGCACGAGCCCTCCGGTCAAAAACACACACGACTGGAATCAATATAAATGGCTAGCTGGTGAATGAACGAGTAGTCAACTTGAGGCATTCCCTACCGATAAGCATGTCTAGGGGAATGTCGACACTGAGCTAGCAAAATAAGCGCACAGAGACTTCACGAAATGTCCCACTGCATGCACCCGCCAACTATGCAAATTTAGTTGCGGGACTAGAAAAATAACCATAAAGAGATTATACGAGATACCCTTCAACATTCACGCAGGAATAAGTGAGCACTCACCCCGGAGCTAGTCTGAATGGTCGACAGGGGCCGCCGTTGACGCTGGTGGACCGACCCCACCTAACCGGCTCCGCCCCGACAGGGGCCGCCGTTGACGCTGGTGGACCGACCCCACCTGACCGGCTCCGCCCCGACAGGGGCCGCCGTTGACGCTGGTGGACCGACCCCACCTGACCGGCTCCGCCCCGACAGGGGGCCGGCGATTGACAGCCTGGATGGACCGACCCCACCCTAACCGGCTCCGCACACAGGGGCCGCCGTTGAACGGCTGGTGGACCTACCCCACCTGACCGCTCCGCCCCGCAGGGGCCGCCGTTGACCGCTGGTTGACCGACCCCACCTGGACCGGCCTCCGCCCCTACAGAACCCGCCGTGACGCTGGTGGAACCGACCCCACCTGACCGCATCCGCCCCCGACAAGAACCCGCCGTTCACGCTGGTGGACCGACCCCACCTGACCGGCTCCGCCCCGACAGGACCGCCGTTTACGCTGGTGGACCCACCCCACCTGACCGGCTCCGCCCCGACAGGACCGCCGTTCACGCTGGTGGACCCACCCCACCTGACCGGCTCCGCCCCGACAGGACCGCCGTTCACGCTGGTGGACCGACCCCACCTGACCGGCTCCGCCCCGACAGAACCCGCCGTTTACGCTGGTGGACCCGGCTCGGCCGAACCATGTAACCGGCTACCTGGCTGACCTGATGCAAGTGCTGGCCTACGCAGTCGGCGTCTCCGTGGTGTACGACACTGACAACGCTCCGGGGGCGTTTGGCTTGCGGCGAGAGGACGGCACCTTTACTGGTCTCGTCGGCAAGCTGGTCAATAAGGTCAGATCCATAGGGCACTTCTGGCTTTGCGAGAGCCATGGAAAGCGCTGCATGCCGTGTGTTTACTAGGTTAGGGGTAAAACAACAAAAGGCTAACGACGACCTGCAGAATATGGATCATTACTTGTAGTGCCTAGCATCTTGAGGCTGTGGCTATCAAAGCCATGAGGGTTGTTTGGACGTCCCAGCACAGAGCTGTTCGTTAGTGACAGTTCTGACAGTGTTCGACGTTCCGGGTTTCCCTTCGCTCATTGTAACCAGCAACTTGCCTGTTGTGCTGCAGCTGAAATAAATTCGGTAGTTCCCAGACTTCCGAATGTATTTGATGGTGGGCGTTGTAAACTGGCTTCCCCCAACACTGTGTCCCTTGGCATTCTTCACATTTCTTCTAAGAACCATTTGTCCTGTGGAACTACTAAGCACCACTGGATCAGCCAAATTAAAATCTATGGACGGTGCGATGATGTTGCTCGCTACATGCCTTGATAAAATCTTGAATTTTGGGAAGAGAGTGATTTGGGTCCAATGCGCATTGTGAGTGGTCACACGCATGACAAATCGCCGACTTCTCCAGGGCGCTTTTTCACCTCAACCGTGCCAATGGTGAAGTGATAAGGAGTCTCAACAAACCGTGCCAATCACGTCCGGCACGGTTTACGCAAAAATGATCACAGGGAAACTAACCACAGCTCACCAGGGTCCCACTCATCTCTCTCTCTCTCTCTCTCTCTCTCTCTCTCTCTCTCTCTCTCTCTCTCTCTCTCTCTCTCTCTCTCTCTCTCTCTCTCTCTCTCTCTCTCTCTCTCTCTCTCTCTCTCTCTCTCTCTCTCTCTCTCTCTCTCTCTCTCTCTCTCTCTCTTCCCCCCCCTCCTCGGTAAGACCCTTTAGTGACCAAATCCAACACACAACTATGTGGACTAATGTGTGACGATGGCAGCGAGACTCAAGGCTCGAGCTGTGCCCCGCGCCTGGGACGACTGAGTGGTGAGGGCAGCGAGCCTCGGGGCTCGAGACTCGAGGCTCGAGCTGTGTCCCCGCGCCTGGGACGATGAGTGGTGAGGGCAGCGAGTCTCGAGGCTCGAGACTCGAGGCTCAAGCTGTGCCCCGCGCCTGGGACGACGAGTGGTGAGGGCAGCGAGCCTCGGGGCTCGAGACTCGAGGCTCGGGCTGTGTCCCGCGCCTGGGACGACGAGCTGGTGAGGGCAGCGAGACTCGAGGGCTCGAGACTCGAGGCTCAGGCTGTGCCTCGCGCCTGGGACGACTGAGTGGTGAGGGCAGCGAGACTCGGGGCTCGAGACTCGAGGCTCGGGCTGTGCCTCGCGCCAGCTGCCCCATTGTCCATGTCTCGCCCATCTGCCATCCTGCAGGCGGTAAAACCCCAACGCCATTGGGTTGCCCACGGTAGCCTAGCCCACGCCAGGTGAGACCGCGCTGGCCGCCTTCTCCAGACGGCGCACGTGGGCCTGGCTCCGATGATATGGAGTCTCAGACGGCAGGAGGCGGTGGACTTCATGGGCAAGGTGCCGATCGCCGCTGGGAGGCGCAGTTTCCTGGTACCGGGGCGCCCCCTAGTCAGCATGGACAACATCGGCGCTCTTCTCACGCCCTTCGACGCCAGCGTTTGGATCTGCCTCGGTGCGTATACTGATCTGGTTTTATATACATATATTTACGATGTGCAATATAATCGACAAGATACCGCAGTCTGGTCGCGTTTAGTCAGTTGAGGCAGTCTGGATCCAGGTGCTGTCACTAGTCATGGTACCTATGGTTAAGCTTCTTTTAGCTACCATCGGTAGCACCATGGTCACCATGAAGTTATTACCTTGTTTCGTGCTCCTTCAGCTCTTGTTTGTAGAACAGGCTTACCGTATAATGCAACCTAAGCCATGGGGCAGACTTCTATCCTTGTGTCATTGAGACTTTAGCGTACCCCATTCAACAGCTGGCACTTCAATGGCGGAACTTTCATTTTCCACCCGGTCCTTCTTTTCAGCTATCACTCGAGCTATTCATCTTAGAAACTTTTACGCGGACCAACTTCTCACAGTTGTCATGACGAAAAATTCATTGAAAAATTGATTGAAAAATATCAATACACACCATGGACAGCCCCTCAGACGGGCTCAACCGTGTCAATGGTGAAGACGCTGGAAACGAAAGACGCTAAAACTAGTGTGTTCGCGGAGACCATGGCGTGGATGATGATCCCTCCGGAATACCTGGTCAAAGTGGCCATATGTCAGCCAGTCTAGAATAAAATGAGAACAATAAATATCCATTCCGGTCTGCAATCGCAGACAAAAATAGCAGGCAACAATGACATCAATGCCTTTGCAGAGAAACCGGTCAACAATAAACCGCGCGACACTTCAGTGATGAGCAGTGGCGCATAATTTCGTGAAATATGTACATGCAAACATTTCATCAACAAAAGTCATTTCGCCCGGCATCCGTGGAAAGCTATGTTCCGAAACCTCTTCACCCATTTCACCTCAGACCCGCCCGTGACAATCTGCATGTATCCGCCCGTGACAATCTGCCACTTAAATCTTCCCTTGCAGGGGTGCCAATTTTTGTTAACTATTGGAGGCCGAAACAAAGGACCGACAGCCTATGTCCCCATTTTTGCTCACCGGATTTAGCCCAATTTATTTTGATTTAACACGATACATGTTTCTAATCTCTGCATATTTTTTTTAAAAATTGCAATCCAGCGGCACTGGGTACAATTCCCAGAGCGAGCGAATTGTTTGGCCCGCCTGAAATGGAAAGGTGGGTTGGCAGCTGGCCAACGAGGGTTAACCCTGGCCCGGGGCGGCTGTGTCGTAGCATTGCGCGACGCGTAAAGCCCTCCACATTCCTGTCTGACGCAAGGGCGAAGGCAAAATTATCCGCTGAACTGGGCGGTACGACTTGGGTGGTGGGTACAGGGTGCACGTAACAAGCTATGCTTAGGCAGGTACTGTGAACCCGGTCACCCATGCAGACCATTCGGAATAAACTTATAAAAAATTATAAAAGTCTTCAATTTCGGGCAGAATAGAAGTCACGCAGTGTTAGATCCAGGGAGCAGGCACTGGACACACACGTCTCTTCTGATCGGCACGTGAAGGCCACCTTAGGGCGTCGATGGCGCTTCTCTTTGGCGGTCATGGGAGGCGGCACACATTTTGGTTGTGGGAGACGGGGACGGGGTTAGCCTCGAAGGACTTAGGCCATCCCTATGTTCCAGAGCTTTTCACTTTAACCTCACAAACTATTGCATATCTTGTAGCGCTAGGTACGTGAAGTTTATTGCATCGTTTATCCGCTCAGCTGTTGCAGGTTGTACCTTATGGTGAGAGCAGACCTGACTTTTTGTTATGAGAGTGGTACGATACGCCACTGCGCAGAAAGATAAAAGAAGATGGTCCTTTGTGTTGTGGTCATCTCTTACCCACGTTTTTTTGTAGATATCCGCCGAAAACATTGGGGACCAAGCCAAAATTGGAGGGGGAAGCAACTCAACATTGGGGGTGCCAGGGCCCTCACAAAATAACAAAAATCGACACCCGTGATCTCTTGATTCCGCAGTAATTTTTGATGAACTCCGGTGTAACATTAGCCGAATGCAGCTAAACAATGGTGAACAGCACTTTTATCTTAAGCAGCTTGTGATGTGCATTAGCATGTGTCCCGGGACCTTTTCCTCGAGCTGACCCTGGAAAAGGTGAGGAACTCAAATTTTAACAGCTCACGACATTGGTAATATGGGACGGGCGTGCTCGGGTTTCAGAAAGCTAGCTTTAGCTCAAAAGGGCTATAACAGGCATGGAACACGGCTGCCAAAGACAACGTCGATTTTCCGTTTCACCCTGCCGTGCCGATATACTTAAATATTAGGTGAGAGTTACCCACAACTGAGCCGTATGCAAACGATGCGTTCAATTCCATCTCGATGTAATCCCTGCATGGACCGTATCGGTCACTTATTACCGGACATAACGAGTAGGACTGTAAAACATCTTGCACACCGCAGTAAATCGACAATGTCATGGCATGCTATGTCGTGCTAATCTAGGCACGGCCTTATTGCCCGCGTTTGCGAGATATAGTAAGCACCCCCATCTTCCAATTTATAGTAAGCATCGTTCTTCAGCAGCACGCGGTGCCCTAGTTGCATGTTATGCGTGAGTTGGCGTGCCCACCAGCTGAGCTGTCTTGTGTCCACCAGTTGTCCTGTTATATAGCATACGCACGTGCGCATCGCTCCAGCTATACGTCGTGTTGACCTCAGTGTCTTGCTAGTGTGCGGGATGCTGTTAGCTACTTTTCTGCTACGGGTCACCGTGACCTTGACCCGACCTCGGAGCGAAGAGGATGATCAGACGTTCGGCATTGTCTCCAGCCTGCTGCACATCCACGCCTGCATAGTGCAACAGGTCAGCTTTCTCAGCGGCAGGCGGAGTTACGTGCGGGCGCCTCCAAAAAGTTACTCCATCTGTGCTAGTTCTCGTATCAGGTCACGGATTCCTGGATGGCCTTACCGACCTCGCAGAAAGCGGAAACGACACATTCCGTGACACATGGACAAGGCTGTGTCAAAGGCGTCGTATACTTAGCATTTTTGGAGGTGAGGCTCATCATACCACAATGTCACCTTGACCAACGCTGCCACGTGATGAGTATGGAGCAATTCACATCAGTCGCATAGCTCATCGTTATCACTGTTGGTTTCTTTGCCATCCGCAGTTTGCTGGTGTAGACGCAACTCTATCCATCTGTGGTATTTCAGATGGTGCGTCCGACATATCGGTACAATTTTTGCATTTATGCAACACGAATTGGCGTTGCCTTCACAATGGCGGTAGTGTGTCGCAGGCCGATCATTTTTGAGTGTGGCACTTAAAAGTGATCGGTGGTTGTGACACAGTGGTTACACTTCGTATGCTGGATGCTTTATTCTAAAATGTACAACGTGCGTAATAACCGTACGTCTACTAACCTCGACAACCACCCGTAGCGACACCTTAATTTTTGTTGACTTTCTAAACGGGCCTAAAGTCACGTTGGATGTTAGAGGGATTTACTTCTGACTGAATGCCAGGTGAAAATCTACGTTAAGGTTGCTCGCACCGGTGCAAATCAACGAAAAGGTTAAGTGCGGTTGCGCCCCTCGTTTTTTACTCTTTAGTTGTTTTTTTATTTCCAGGCAGAAGTCGCCGGAATGTAAGCACAACGATACATATCTATGCAAGCACTCAACACACGCATGAGCACCATTCAGACATTTGGGTGGTACCCAGGATACCAGCATGGTCTGGTGCCCGCAAGAAGACCATGCGATATGCTTGTGGGAAGGAAACAAGTATGTCGGTGACTGTTATCTTTGAGTAGCAAGCAATCATCCACAGCAGCTACGGCGTGTTGCAAGAAAATAAGCCCGATGTAGATGGCCACGCGCTGGAGATGATGCTATCTTTTGTTAAGGAAAGGGAAGGCAATTGCGGTAAGGTTGGTAGTATGCTGTTAAAAACCACCTTGAAAATAGTTGAAAATCGAGTGAATGAGAGGTACCTAAGACCCACTTTTGCTGGGCTCTTTTGACTACGTTGTCCTCAACCGGGAAGCCATCAAAACGTCTAAGATTGCAGCGTCTGGTGCTCATATCGTCCAAGACCGCAACATCCATGCGGTTCTGTACGCCGCGTGCCTGGACGTTCCGATTCTCCCCTGTCCTGGGACATTGGACGTTTTCTGGATGTTTTGAACGCTGGACGCTGCAATTCTGGATGTTTTGACCAAAGACGTCATGAGCTCTGGACGTTTCAATACCCATGCTGTCAACCAGTGTAACCGGTATCAAACCATGCACCCGCCTCTGTGTCAGTCACTTCTCACTTTCATGTCACATACATGTGCTGAGCCTTCCTCGAACCAATCAAAACACAAATAATTCATATGTTAAACATATCGTACATGCCACCTTATCGAATTTGAGCCGCGGAGAATTTCTCGCATTGGGTGTTGTTGCCGCTGGATAACCCTCTCCTAGATGTCTCGAGCTCACAAATCCCGTTGGGACCTGCAACATGGCACCTGCCTTCATGTCTTGTCAGCCTAGATAGCAGGGCATGCTGTGCTCTCCGCAGGGCTGGTCCTCCACGCCCAGTCGAGCCTCTTCTCGTGTTGTCACGCTGGCCGCGCGTGTCCTCGGCATCCTCATCTACGTCGAATACACGGCCATGCTGATCTCGATGTTGACGGTGGTGAAGACAGGCCCCGAGGTCAGCTCTATGGAGGAGTTTGTCGCCCGGAGCGACTGGTCGCTGCTCATCCGGTCGGGCGTGGCCTACACTAACGATTGGAAGGTCGGTGACTCGCTGAACAATATTTGTCCATGTTTTATGTTACCCGTTTCAGCTAGTCGTGCATGGAAATGAACAGGCCTCCACGTTCGTTTTGTATTACATTGTCTAGAAATTTGCGCCTTGGATTTTCAGAAACAACTTTTCAATGCTTAGAATGTTGAGATGCTAGTCTTCAGAACATATCTTAGTGATCACTCTGTTGTAATAAATTACTGGCCACGGGCATAACAGTGTTAAAAGGAACAACCAGCAAATTCGTCCCAAACTTACCATACTAGAAGCATGTCAAAAAAGGTCAACAGTAAAAATTCCACAAGATTAAGATCGACGGCGAAAAACGTAAGTACGGATATGTTGGGAAAATATCGACCATGATGAAATTTCATTGAAAAACGATTGGTTTATTAATTATGGAAAGGATGAACATCAACATCACCTACGCTATTTTGTCAAATTTTGCATTGCAACCACTTTTTGCTTCCAAACCAATCCATGTCAATGGTCGCCCTCGAATATTTATAGTCGAGTTCTTTCTAACAGTTTGTTCGACATAGAGTTTTGTGTCAAAACACGGAGCGCGCGGTAGACGCTTGCTTCGAAAAGGGTCGCCATTTTGGAGTTTAACCATAGCGTTAAGGCAAAGCCACGTTAACAACGCGATACGAAAACATCCGCTTGGGGTTGGAAGATGCGCTTTGGAACAACCGTTTTGTTTCGTTACTGAGAGTAAGAGAATTCGTGATAGGTGCATCCTGTGGTGAAATGCGTGAACTTTTCGTCTTTGCTATCACTGAATAGGAAATACATCCAATATCGTCTGTGTTTTCTCCACACGACTGCAGCTATGTTTATCTCTAGACACATTATACAGAGGCCAGCCAAAACTTTTATCCCTCAAACATTGGCTGTACTGGGCTCTGTCATACTGCTGCCCGCTCCACACCAAGCAAACTTCGCATCTTCAGATGAGCGAGGAGGCCTCGCTGAGAATACTCTATGAGCGCATTCAGACCGGACAACAAATCAAGACACTGACCCCGGCGACAGTGGAACAGATGTTTGATCCGAAGACGGTGACCTCTTTCAACCGTATTCAGGTGAGTGCAGGTTGGCCATGCGTGAATTAAAACAAGTGCTAGTGTGTAACACTGCCGTATCCGATGTAAGACACATTGCGCTTGTAATTCCATGATATTCAGTGGTGCTTTGTCAGTGAATATGAAGTGACTCCAAAATCCGCGGGTTTAATTCTGCTGCTTCGCATGGCTTCAGTAGCTTCACACTGTATCATCTTACGACAACGTGCCGGTGCTATGACGTGTATCACATATAGGCGACTGGTCCCGGATATGCGAAGCGTGTGGGTTGCACGTCACGGTTCACATACGGACAGACCGGACCAAATGCTTCACATACGGACAGACCGGACCAAATGCTTCACATACGGACAGACCGGACCAAATGCTTCACATACGGACAGACCGGACCAAATGCTTCACATACGGACAGACCGGACCAAATGCTTCACATACGGACAGACCGGCCGGACAGACCGGACCAAATGCTTCACATACGGACAGACCGGACCAAATGCTTCACATACGGACAGACCGGACCAAATGCTTCACATACGGACAGACCGGACCAAATGCTTCACATACGGACAGACCGGACCAAATGCTTCACATACGGACAGACCGGACCAAATTCTTCACTTACGGACAGACCGGACCAAATGCTTCACATACGGACAGACCGGACCAAATGCTTCACATACGGACAGACCGGACCAAATGCTTCACATACGGACAGACCGGACCAAATGCTTCACATACGGACAGACCGGACCAAATGCTTCACATACGGACAGACCGGACCAAATGCTTCACATACGGACAGACCGGACCAAATGCTTCACATACGGACAGACCGGACCAAATTCTTCACTTACGGACAGACCGGACCAAATGCTTCACATACGGACAGACCGGACCAAATGCTTCACATACGGACAGACCGGACCAAACGCTTCACATACGGACAGACCGGACCAAATGCTTCACATACGGACAGACCTTACTAGATGTTGCCGCACTCTGCGCAGGGTGGAGCCCACGCACCAGATTGACGTGACACTTTACACCTAGATAGCGTAAGCCTCCTTTCATCCTTTGATGGCAGCCAGCTCACGAGTGTTTGTTTCAGGACTTAAGTTCATTTAATGACCAATCACCAGTACAAGGTGCAGTCAGCCCTAACTTACTTTACTTAGCTTATCCTTCTCGTTGGTTTCCTGCAACCAAAAGCTCTGAATTGAAAAAAGGGTTAAACAAACGTCATGAAGGATTGTAATGACTCTATTACAGCAGTAATCAAGTTGAAACTTATCATGGGCCTATCGAAAATCGATTGTGGAGACATGAAAACGTGGTCTGGGGAAAATATGCCGGACTCGTGATTCAGCGACACTAGGTAAGAGTCCCAGAGTGGACACATTATTTGGCCTGATTGGCACGGAAACGTCACTTAAGAGCTGGTCAATGAGGGTCAACCATTGCCAGGGGCGACCACACAGCAACATTGTGTGGCACGTAACACCCTCCGCATTCTTGTCTGGCGACAGAGCGGAGGTGAATTTTGTTCATTGATAAGGACCACACAATTTGAGTGGTGAGTGCAAGGTGTACGCAACAGGTGGGGACAAAATTTTCAAAAAGTTTACAAAATGAGTTTGGGGACAGCGCTGTACCAAATGGTGCGACGAACACCCAAAATACGCCATCAAATGAGGTTTTCCCTGACTTTTCTAAAGGCCTCATTGCTCGTAGAATAACCATAAGAATGGAGGGATAAAAGCACTTGTATTTTGGCGACAGGCCTCTATTGAAATGAGTATCAGTAGTAAACCAAGAATTGCCCGCCGATTCCACTCAATTTTGCAGTTTTTGATAGCGAGCCACAAATTTTACAGTTCACCAGCATTTAGGGGATTAAACACGGATAATTGCCAACCTCGTATTCTACGATACAGCGCATATCCAACTAAAAATTTAACCCCGCCAAAAGTACGTGCACATGCAAACGAATTAAAGTAAGCAGGTATCACACACCGTTCAAAATGCAAGCGATTTCAAGTAAACAGGCGCCACGTATAACGCATCACTTATGCACGGAAACGACTTCAATGAAGCAGGCATCGCGCAGCACGTGTCAGGCATCACTCGTACATGTAACCGATTGTAGTGTAGCACGTATCACACATCAAGGCACAAATCGCATTCGAAAAATCGGTCATGATGAGCCCTGCACGTCTGGTCTGGTCGCCGATTTCATATCAGAATGGATTCACTTATTTCCCTGCCTGTGCTTCGTAGATGACTTGAGATCTCAAATGGGTATAGGGTCCATACCTCCCTGGATTTTAGCTTGGTTGTGTGTTATTAAGTATTGGTCGCCGAAAGGGGCATTCTCCGCTTTGTTGTTAGCGTTTGCAGGTGTTCAGTGCATCTTAAGCGAATATGGCTCTCGGACTCTCCGATATAGACCATGTCCCTCCCATGTTTTTCACACAGTTAACATTTAGTTCTGTAAACCAGGTTTGTTTGCGCGCAGATCCCTTCGAGATAAAATACTTCAGAGACTTTGAGGCTTATTGTCGTTTTTACAGGCTCTCCGTATGTGCAGTTTTCATTTTCTAATGATATATTTGATTTTTGAAAGCAAGCGCTCCCCTGCGTTAGGTGGCGTTAGAAGTCCATCGTCCAACAGCGCGTGTTCCATTTCCTACCACCTATCTCCCACGTGTTGTAGGTTTTTTTACCCCTTCTTAAGTCTACCTAAAAGCCTTTAAAAAACATCCACTGCGCAACAGCAACGTCCACATTTCGTTTATACTCTTTCTTTCTTTTTCATTACTTGATGAGTTTGTTATAGGCCTACCTAGCCTAGGAACACATAACCAATTATATTGTGCTTAGTGGAAGTTGGATGCGCAGATTCGCAGCGCAGAATGATACAAGAATTGGTACGCGCTGTCCGTGCGTCCCCAATCCAGCATTATCATCGATGTTTCTAGATAAGAACATTGGCGGGCAGAGCCTTCGTTTGAAATTGGTCCAAGAATATTGTCGTCAGAGGATGAGCGCATGGGTTCCCTATTGCCATACCCAATTTCTGTCGATGGTAGTCATCGCCGAATGAGGAAACATTATACTAGACACAATTTTCCAAAAAAAGACAAACGTCCTCTGAAAACATCAATTTTATGGAAATGATCGTGTTTCTTAGCTTCACCGCAGCGATGGCCTTATTGACAGGTATGATGCCACATAAATTGACAATATCCGCACTGGAAGAAAATGCTGTCCTCTGGTAACCCTTTTGCTCGTAAATGATTGGAAGCCTTTTTAAGATGCGCTCCGTCCGACCCTCAGAGGGGCCCTCAGATCTTCCTCAGACCCTCAGATCTTTGCGGCCATGCAGTTTAGAGACTAGAGAGTTTTGTGTCTTGAGAAGCGAATGTTATGAAATCCTATTACAAAGTCATGTTAGGAATGGCATGTTGAGAAGTCATGTTAGGAACTTGCAAAACTTGGACAAAACTGATCGTGAGCCATTTGACAGCCAACATGCCTGGAACTCGTGCTTACGAGTGCCATATATGAGCATATCGACAACTATATTTATCTTGAGATTAAACGTCGCATGGCCGATGGAATGGCTGTATCAAAATGACATCATTTTGACGTCATAGATGCCTGAGTGACCTTGAAGTAGTCTGCTCGAAAAAGTCTGCGCATCTTCGCGGTCATGTGGCTCACAAACAAAAATGTTTTTAAGCCTTAAGAAGGGCAGGGCTGTGAACTGCACCAAATGATCTCCAAGATGGCTATTTCAGTTCAAAACCCCGCACTAATGTGAAACATTCCCTTTAACGTATGCCGTATATTAAATTTTGGAATGTTGGCTGTCGGACCACTTGCCATTTTTGCTAGATTTCAATGGCAGTATGATTTTCCGTTGGATTCGGTATGCTGGCTGAAAACAGGATATGACAAGCCTGTCTTGCTTATATCAGAAAACTACACCCCTGAGTCAAGGCTATCAAACGACATGCAAATATTCCATTTGCCCAACAGCACCCATTTGTATTTCATACGGCCATCGTGCGGCGTTTTAAGCGTGGAAGCAAACTTACGGAAACATTCTTAAAACATTTATGAGAAAGCCCGGCGAGTGGAACAGTGTGAGTGTGGGAACATTGTTTCAGGGCTCTCGCACGACACCGGAGCATCGAGTCCGGTCGCCGGGCCCATTCGATAAGACCGTCTCCGATCCATGCCAGTGCCATCCCCAGAGGGAGCGCACCACCGGTGTTTCCGACCTTCGACAAGCTCCGGTCACATCCGGGCAGGCACACGTCCGCCCCACACTACTGCGCAGGCGCGCGGCCGATCGGCTGGCCGGCCTGGACCTGTCAGCGCGGCCACCACGACCTGAGACCGGAAGATGCAGAACTGAGGAGCCGTCGCCAGTCAGCAACATGCTACATGTACATGACGTGTCTCACTCCTCCTGCCAAGTGGCAGGGATGCGGCGGCGGTGGTGGGAGTGCTGTGCCACAGCGCAGCTCGCTAGTAGGTGCTGCTGGTCCCAGCCTGTCTGATGCTTATAAGATTACCGGGCCAGGAGAATGTGTACTCCGCGGTCTCATTTGGATCGCTTCGCAGGCCTTTTTCAAATTCGGATCGCGAGCCTGTGATCTGTTCTCTCTGCCGTTGAGATCAACTTCCAGCCCAACTCGTCTCTCCCAGCCAGAGACAGGTCGACTGGAGCCAGTTTTTCTCGTCATGCGGAAACACATGAAGCTCAAACCAGACATAGACCGCGCGTAAGTAAGGTGTGGCTACTGCGTATGATTTGTTAGGCGCCGTCAACAAATTGTAATCGGACAACGAAAACAAACTTAATGACCAGTGAATATAAACAGGATGTGTTAATGGCTGTCAGGTAACTTGATCACTCTGGTAACATGCTAAAGGTGATTGTTGCTCGTTCCAGAATGCAGAATATGTACCAGACTGGAGTGATCGACGGCCTGTTCAATCGCTGGTTTCCAAATGTCACCAATGAAGCATGCAGCTCATCTGTGGAAGTCCGACCGCTGGAGGTTGATGACCTCATTGGAATACTTAGCATAGTTCCAGCTGGTAAGACCGCTGCCGGCCCTTTGTTTACGCTGTTGTTCAAGCAGTCACACGGGAACCTGATGCTTAGCGCGTGATGACTTCGATTCAGTGCTGATTACAAAGCTGACTTGTGAATGCCGTTGTTCTGCCTTAAATGACCTCTTGCTGTCCAATAAATGGACCCCATTGGTTTTCGTTGCCGTCTGACATTTAATGAAGTATTACTATTCATTTAAATCACTCGGTTGTCACATCGTGTTATTTTCTTTTTATTTTGCGCGGGAAAGCGTTGCACAGTTGAGTTTTTGCAGGGGTCCGTGAGTATCGAACAGCAAACAAATATTAGCTCAGGGACTAAGCCTAGGGGCCACATGGGACGTTGCCCCCTCTGAGCTGTGCGGTTTACATTGGATACAGGGCAATTTCGCAGAAATGCGGTAATATATATATATATATATATATATATATATATATATATATATATATATATATATATATATAATTTCATGAAAGAAGTCACTTTTAAAAATGTCGATGAATATGCCCCGAGTTTTGCTTAAGGAGATGTTAAAAACCCATAGAAGTGGAAACCCTCCTCAGGCCCATCATCGGCGCACATACCATCGGATAAATAAGTAAAAAATCTGACACGATTTTGAGACCATATGTCCCAGCTCAGCGCTGCAATGACTCTGTTGATGAGCTGCTTGATATCTTGCGAAAAAACGCCCCAATTGTGAACTTGCGTCGATTAATATGGAGAGCTTCGTCACAACCATTTACCAAGGGAGCTTTTCGTTACAACCGTTTATTGGAAACCCTGTAACGTTGGACTGAGTGAACGCCGCAGTGAATGTCCCAAAGGTGTAAAAAGACCGATGTTACAGCGTTGTTTGAAGGGTATTGCTCGCATGTCGTAGCTGTGAGCTCTTGCATGCTGAGCTCAACCGCGTGGATGCGTCCGATGTGGATTCAACCTGAACAAACCATTGGATACGCCATACCTAATTCCCTCTTTCCAAAACTCTTGCTTGCAGGCAGCTTAGTTTTCAGAAGCTACAGAACCGACCACTGCCAAACCTCCTCCATTGGTCGCCCCATATCTGATTCCTTCTTGCAGTTTGAATGGTTGGTGGTCCAAGGTCAGTTCAAGTCATCAGATTTTACAAATGTTAGACTTCTTGTCTGCAGACAACTCATAGTTCAGAAAGCACCGCTTCGATCGTCTCCAAGCTCACCATTTGATGAGAGATACCTTGCAGTAGCGGTGTGTGCCATAGAGTCGTGCACAATCATTTTTTACAGTGCCCAAACGCGCGGGCATTTTTGCGGTCGTGCGCTTCACTGTAATAACATTTCTACATATTTTTTGCACAAATGCAAGGGCATCGTATCCTTTTTCGCAAACAAAGACATAACGTACACCTGAAAGGCATATCTAACTTTCGAGACATTCGGGACAGTCAGACAGATTGGAGAAGCCGGAAATGCGCCTGGGAAACCAAAGGCACGGGGTTCGATTTCCCGCGGTTCCCGCTCCTCCTGCCAGGGTGAGAGGCTGGCGACGCCATTTAGCTTCAGAAGCTGAGTACGTCGTGAAGCTCCAATGCCGCGCACACACACCCACGACACGCACACCCACACCCACACACGGTGTCAATCGTAATCACGCACCGACATGGCTGCGCACAAGCACAGGGAAGCTCGAGGTTACCGTTGACCAGAGCAGTGACGTCTTTTCCGTCATTTTTGCCACCGTTTGCTCCTGAGATCTCTCGTTAACAAACTATGAGTGCAGAAAGTGAGCCCTCAATAAGGATTCTGAAGCCGTAGATCTGTCCCAGAAGGACTCTGACCAAACCGGTATATTTCGTTAGGCCCATCCAGCCCGCTCTCACAGCCGGGCGTGTTAAATCCGCAGCATCCGTCACAGCCGTTGCTCAGGCTTAGTTTCATTCGACGGACTTTTGAACAACTTGGAGCCAGCAACCAACAATAGGCTGCTGAGGAGGCATGTTCATAATCACGACGGAATGGTATTCGCACACCACACATGTCGACCACGGCGACACCATGCGTCATGCAGCGCGTGACTTTCATAAGAACCTCCCGCTGAGGAGAAATCAAAGTAACAAATGATATCACTTGCCTATTAAGGTCAGCCTGAGAAAGTTGCACGTTTCATAGGATCAAACATAGAAGGAAGGACATAATTGTACATGGCACCATATTTGCGGCATCAACAGGAAGGCAGGTATGGCGTATTGAATGGCATGGATTCGTAGTAATATAAGTGGTTGGTTCTAAAAACTGAGTTTTCTGCAGGGACGAATTTTGGAATTTGTGAAATGTGATGACCTTTGACTTGACGTTTAGCCACCAAATTGTCAAACGCAAGAGGAAATCAGCTCTGCTGCATGCAAGAGGGAAAATTTCGCAGCAATTGGTTAGGTAGGTTCTAAGAGGTTCTCTGAGGTTCTCTTTAAGTTGTCTGCTTTTGAATGTTAAATTTTCCCTTCGTGTTTTTGAGGTGCTTTACCCCAGGCCTGGTCTGGATATTGCCACCTCATTGCTCACCTCATTATCCTGAATCGATCGGTGAAGGTTTTAGGGCGCTCGGACAAGCCGTTTCGAAGAGCGAGCGCGTCTGCTTCATGCTTTCCTGCCTGATCATGTACATTGAACATGTTTATCACACGAAACAACTTAGGGCCGCTACAATTGCCACGGCCAATCAGCACCTCGCCACGTGATACATCAGGGATGAATGATGCCGGTCAAAGATAAGTCATCTTGTTTCCAAGAAACCGAAATTCGCAGGGCTAGATTCAGCTTATCAGACACCCTGAAAACAAACCTTCTTAAAAGTTGAGTGGTGAGATGGTTTGATGTTGATGAATCTGTTGCGGTGATAATTACAAGCTACTCTATAAGTCACTCCTGTAACGAATCACTCTTCAATATTGCAACAGTCTACAGAGTTATGCATGTCTGTCATTCGTCAAAATTATTGTTACCTACTGAGGATGACCATTTGTTGCAGGAGTCGTGATCAGCTTGGGGGTACTGTGCCTGGAATATCTGACCGCGTACCTCGTGAAGGGCACCGGAACTCATCGACGACGCGCGAAGCGAGATATTGCCAAGCACAACCAGCACCAAATGATGGGGTTTTTATCGCCAGCACCAGACACTGACTTGTCCGAACGATGATGGGCTGGATCACCAGCACAAGGGACCGGACAAGCTATGCAGTTTCATCCCGTTTGCACAGTTCAGGGCTGTCGACTACACGATATACTGCATGCCACATCACATGCTTTATCCAGGGTGCCCGCTTTAGAAACTGAGCGCGTATTCTAATTCTGGATGTGCTTACTTACAAGCTAACAGTTGCGGCGACACATTCTAATTGTGCGATTAAAATATACGGTCCGCACGGCGCTGGCTGTCAGTTCCATTCGCGGCTCAGTAGTTGACTCTCACTGGGCGAGGGATAAACGCTGGCCATAAGCGGCACCTCTGCCAGTTGTCTTACTGGCCGAGGGGATGGATGCTAACCTTAAGCGGCACCTCTGATAGGTTGACTCTCACTGGACGGGGGATAAATGCCAACATTAAGCACCTCCTCGAACAGTTGACTCTCACTGGGCAAGGGGATGGATGCCAATATTAAGCGGCACCTCCTGACAGTTGACTCTCACTGGGCGAGGGGATAGATGCCAACCACAAGCGGCACCTTTGAGGTCACGGAACGGTAGACAGCATCTTGGCGCTCAGCATAACTGACGATGCCACTCATTGCGCGTATTTTGCACACACAAAACCGGATTTTGGTGGTGCCTTTTCTTGTTACCAATTTTTTTTTTGCCCAGACGTGAATAAAATTCCATAGTGGCACAATCAACTGTGGATGGTTGTGATTTCAGGCATGCCCAATTTTCTATGGACAGTTGTTTACCCCGCCCATTCTCTATAATGCCTCTACAACCTGGGATCCACGCAAATGGGATATTCGTGGTCTGCATGCAGAACAGACCAACAGAGATTGGTAGCATTGGCAAGAAGGTGGTGAACAGGTAAGTGACGCGCCCTAAAAGCAACGCCTCGTTGGGCCTCAAATTAAAATAAAATGCACCGGCAGCCTAGCCCTATGTTTGATTTTCCTCGACAGCGCTTGAGCCATTGCAGTAAAACTCTCACGTTTGCGCTTTTTCAGTCCAAATATAATTTTTTTCTTCAAACGAGCAGCAGTAGTTCCTTCTGTGCATGCTGGGGCGATGCGAGTATTCATGAAGCTGACATGCCTATAGCCGGGAGCCGTGCTTGGCTGTCTTCCAATAGCAATATACTGCATCAAAGTGAACTGTCATGCCCTGTGCACTCCATTGTCAGTCTTCTTAAAATGCTGCCGCATTTCCTTCCGCACTGATTGTCCGCCCCATTCAGTAGTATGATTGGAGGGGCCATATCGAATAGGCGCCGGCGACCGGGCTCGGTGCTCCGGTGTCGTGCGACAGCCCTGAAACGATGCTTCCCAGGCTCACACGGTCCCACTCGCCGAACTTTATCATAAAGGTTCAACAAAAAATGTTCCCGCAAGTTTGCTTCCACGCTTAGAACGCCGCACAAGTGTCGTATAACGTGCAAATGGGTGCTGTTGGCCAAATGAAATATTTGTTTGTCGTTTGAAGGCCTTGACTCGGGGTGTAGTTTTTTATACAAGCAAGACAGGCTTTTTCAGCTCCCGATGTTTGGGTGTTACGAGTGCAGAGCTCTTATGCTAAATTATCAACCTTCAATAAACCGGGAAGTGCTGTATAAACCACGATTAGAGGAACATTGATTGAATTGACATTACTTCAACGTTTGCTGCGCCTGTGATCACGAGTAAACCTATCAGAGAACATAAAACGATCAAGTCAAATCCTATTGTAATCAGCCAGCATATCAAATCCAATGGAAAATCCTACTGCCATTGAAATCTATTAAAAAGAGCAAGTGGTCCGGCAACTAGCATTCCAACATCCGATACACGGCCTACGTTAAAGAGAATGTTCCACATCAGTATGGGGTTTTGGACTGAAATAGCCATCTTGGAGATCATTTGGTGCAGTTCACAGCCCTGCCCTTCTTAAGACCTAAAATCCTCTAGTTTCCGAGCTACATGAACGTGAAGATGCACAGACTTTTGTTGTGCACACTATTTCAGGGCCACTCGGGCATCCATGACATCAAAATAATGTCATTCAAATACTACCGTTCCTTTGGTCATACGGCGTTAAATATCCAGGGAAATATAGTTGTCGATATGCTCATATATGGCGCTCGTAAGCACGATTTCCCAACATACTGGCTGTCAAATGACTCACGATTAGTGCTGTCCAAGTTATGCAAGTTCCTAACATGACTTGCCTTTTTTGTTACATAATAGAACCTATTTATCCTCCTTAGTTTTGACCGAAATAAGAGTGGTAATCGAATAACTTGAAATAGCGCTGTGGCTGTGGATACAAGTAAGCACCTTAACACGCGCTCGGGTGGGAGTCAAATTGACACCCGAAGGTTTTTCAATGATAGTTTCCGAACGGCGAGGCGTAGCCGCGCCAATTGCAGCATAGCTATGGAGAATTAAATAGCGCATCGTTTGGTATAAAAATTAGATATACCTTGCACGGCCGCTGACCTACAGTAGGTCGAAGTCATGCAATGGATTTTGCGTAGTCGATTTTTAGGGAATTGTTTAATCTGATGCAACAACGGGGAGTTAGACGAAGCCACACATCTCTAATATAATTTCTTAGACAACACAACAATTCAATGAACAAATTCCACTGACCTTAGGTAAATTTTGAAGGTCACACCAAGGTCAAAAACAATCTGTTGTATTACTCTAGGACTTTTTACGTAAGTTACACTCGATTAATATCAGGTCTCAGAATTGCAGCTTCAAGTAGAAACAAGGAGTTATTTTTCTGAGGTATATATGACGTGTTTAAGACCAACAAGAATAAAATGTGTGCACTGTTCTCTACACCAGTGGCGTAAATTAACGTGACTGCAACCCAAGGAAGTTTTTGGCATCGGTTAGAGCAATTTTATCAGTTTTCCCCCAAAAAAATTAGAATGTGGTGCTCTTGACGTCAACACAGAAGCTGGTAAGTAGGCGGCTGCACCATACTGCACGTGTCGCGAATAAATGATGTAGGATTCCTGTCGGTAGGAGCTTTTGCTGTACTACTTCTGTCGTGGCACCCACGATGATGGAGTGCGTGCAGTGGGTTTACCAGCGCGTTGGCTGCAAAATTAACGCCCCATCTGAAGTACACGAGACGATTCGCTCTTACATTGAGGGCTCATCACAAAAGGCTACGCTTTCCGAAATGGCTAGTGCGGAGGGTAATTGCATGAGTTGGGATAGGTGTAGATGTGAACTACATGGCGGGAGTAACGAAGATGAGTTTACACATCAGCCAAGGGTAGTAAGGTTAACCGTGATAGGAACGAACTGCACACCCTCGCGTTGGAGCAAAGAATGTCGGCTCGCTTCTCCTATTGAAACCTGAAGGTGCCGGGTTAGCCCACCAGCGTGAGGTAAAACCACTTTCAAGGCGATTTATGGATCGCAATTTCGTGGGTTGCTAAGTTATGGAGCATGGCTTTGCATGCTGGTCATGACTTAACACGTCAATACTGAATATATTCGACTTTATGTGGTAAGTGGTGTAACAATGTTTTGCTGGCTTCATCATAACGTTTCGCAACGACCATGGCTGTCTATTGGCGATAGCGCCCACAAAAATGTAAATAATCCTATAAGCACCCTGAGAGTCACCCTACCTTTCCAGCTGTGTGAGTGAGTTCAACGAAATAAAGCCACTCCTTGTGTGGGAGTGAGCAATGCCACCAAAAACAGGAGATTTCGTGCCCCACATGATGTTAAAGCTTTCTTGGTGCGATGCTTGTGTTCAACCAATTGGTATCAGCTGTTGCTCGCGACTGTGAGACAAGGCATCAGTATCCAAGAAATGTCGTGGGACAAAACAGAAGCTCAAAAACGCCACTTGAGCACATAATCCATGTTTTCAGAAAACTGTGTGCGCCTGCATGGCCTAGATGTCTTACCAGGTCGGTTATGCCAAAGGGCGTTACTAAATGATTCATGGACAGCATTTCGCGTCATGCGAATTTATTTTCACGTAGATGCGGTGAACAGACATGAAAAAATAATATGCCTGAACAAAAAAAAAGAAGTTTATTGGAGCTTAGATTATGTGTCTTGTCATAGCTCCGAACCAACTGAGTGTGATCGGCTACATTCTAAACCATTCGCATATTGCCATCAGTTATGCATCTGGTGTGGTTCCACTCACCCCTCGCGCCCATTCATCGCAGCGGCGATCGACCCGGGCCACCGGTAGTGCTGACACCCGCAGTAATATAGGATACAATGACGGATGGACGGCCATACATGTGGTGGTGTCCTGGTGACGGCCGCCTCCGGCCTTCGATCGGCAGCCGCACAAAAGCGGCCATCAGTCTGAGGAAGGGCCGGAGGACAGCGCGACGGTGCAGCTGGTGGTGCTGTACCATCAGTCTGAGGAAGAGCCGGAGGACGGCGCGACGGTGCAGCTGGTGTTGATGTACCTGCTGCACCGTGTTGTGCGAAATAACGTTAAGCATAAACTTCCTTTTTTTGGAGAAGTGGTCCGCTCTCACTGCCAAGCCAGTTCTTTTCGAGCATCACCATAAGCTTGAGTTACATTTGTAGTTTAGAGAATGAGTACATGGCGTACGCCTGTGGGGTGTACAGGCGTATGCTCCCTTCCAGCAAATATTCCATTCCTGCCCTCTTCCTCTTCCATAGGCGCATGCATACCAGCAAATCGTACCACATAGCGTGGTGAGCAATCGATTCACATAATACGTTAGCATTCCAACGACGGACAACATGGTTTGCCGTTTTAGATGCGTTGCCAGAACCCCAATGAAAGTGATAGCGCACAGACGCTGCCAATGCAGAGTGCAAATTCTATGCACAAAAGTTTGTGTTCTGGGCCGAGTTAAGAAAATCCACCTTTTAAAATGGAAAGCCCAAGATGACCATTTGGGTATAAGCTGAACTTTTACACACTTGTTTTGTGGAACGAGCCGTTGTGTGCCTCCAGCGGGCAAACAAGTGACGCCAATGCCCATTTTATACCAGTATCTGGTTAACTTGGTTTTTGAATGAATTAATTATTAATAATTTATCTGATTGATTAATTAGGACGATTGGAAATTGCCACATGCTTGAATTTGAGCTAGTTGTACCCTGCAGAAACGTGACCAGCCGAGCAAAGACCTCAGAAATATAATTTGACCTCGCTTGCCATAGACTGACGGATTCCGCACTTTCAGACAGATCAAAACGA